CAAATCTAGGGTGTTTGTTTGTTTGTTTGTTTGTTTGTTACCATTGGTGTGTGGCTGTCTCTAAGAGTAGTTGCAAATATTTACATTGAAACTGTTCCTCCTTCAGTTTCTTTTACCTTTCTCATCATCAGTTCTGTGTTTGTGCGCAAACATTGTGCTAGATATATTGCCTGTAGGGACAGATCCGTTTACTCTTCTGTGACAATGAAACAGGGTGAACAGGTTCTTAGGTGTTTTGTAGAAAGACCTTCTTGAGGGAGAACTGAATAGGGCCTCTTGGATGTTATAATGAATCCTCTCTGGGTTTTGATTTGCCCTCTGCTTTTCTCCCCAGGAAGCTGCAGGCTTACCAACACTGCCTCATTACTCAGCACTACCCTCTGGAGAGGGAGAATGAGGCCTGGTAAGTAAGCTTCCCTCCAGCCAATGGAGTTTCTTCCAATCTTCTTTCTCCATGGCTTCTCACCCTTGAGATATGTCCACTGTCCCTTCCAGTAGAAAATTCTTCTATGCTCGCCTCTTCAGAGGAGTTTTGGTCCTTTAATGTTTCTAAAGCTGTTGTATCTTCAGAAAAAAAAATTCTTTAGTGGTAACTTTTAAAATTAGAACTGTTTGTTTGGATTAAAAAGTTGATTCTTATGAGGAAGTATAGAGGAACAGGGTTTCTTTGAGCCACTGAGAATGTGCTAGCTTTTATTTATTCATTTGATGGTTGTTTATTTAAGAGCAGTAGAGAATAATGTAGAGACCACATAGACAAGTCACTACCTATGTGACTAAGTCACTTAATTCCTGAGACTCAGATTTTCTCATCTTTAAGATAGAAATAAAGCCTACGTAGTTGAGAGGACTAGATGAGATGACCATGTAAGAGGATGGTCTCTGGAGAGACCCAGCTGGACTCCAGTTTTGGCTCCAACACTTACTAGCTGTGTGGACTTGGGCAAGTTATTTAATCTTTCTCAATTTCCTTTTCTGTAAAATAGAGATGGATAATCATAGTATTTGTTATCGTGTCATTGGGTTATTGTGAGGACGAAGCAAAAAAGTGTTTAGCACAGTGCCTGGTGCATACTAAGTGCTCATTAAATGTTAGCTATTAATTACAACAGTAGCAGCAACAGCAACAATAGTCTGTAGGTATTTATGATGCTAGGACATCAGGTGGCAGAGGAAAGACTAGAAGGCATCGCATAGGGCAGTGGATCTATAAGAGCATTTTCCCTACCAGCTTTCTTAGTGAGAGGGCCTATAGGGACTGAGAGGCTCTCATTGGGCCTACAGCTTCCTATAGTGAAAGCTTCCCTTCCAGCCTAGTAGGCTGAGGTGGGAGGTTCAGAGGGACTTCAGAAGACAGTGAGAAGACCAGTCTGGCAGGGTGGAGGGTTTGGGTAAGGGCATAAATAACTCTAGAAGGTAAAACTGGGGCTGGGTCCTGGAGGGCCTTGAAGGCCAGGTGAATTCTTTGTATTAGAACCACCCTACTCTGGGCCATCTCAGTGGAAATTGCTCTCTTTCAGTTTTTACTTCATACTTTTAAAAATGGTAATACACATTATTATATTTTTTAATGGCAATACTCATTAAAAGCTGTAACATCTACATTTTAAACAAAAATAGTAAAACAAACACCCATGCACAGGAGATGTAATATTACCAGACCCTTTGAAAACACCCTCTGTGCATCACCAACCCCTTCCAACCTCTGAGTGCTATCCTGAATCTTGTGTTAGTCATTTATTGTTTTCCTTCCTTCTTCTCTCCTTTTATTTATTTATTTTTTTAAAGATTTTATTTATTTGACAGCGAGAGAGGGAACACAAGCAGAGGGAGTAGGAGAGGGAGAAGCAGGCTTCCCGCGGAGCAGGGAGCCCGATGTGGGGCTTGATCTCAGGACCCTTGGATCATGACCCAAGCCGAAGGCAGACGCTTAATGACTGAGCCACCCAGGTGCCCCCTCTCCTTTCTTTTAAAAATGGTTTTACCTATCCTGGTCTTTTGGGAACACAGAGCAGGGGCTGTGGATTCAGGCAGGAGCCATGTGGCCTGCCCTTTGCCTAGCTAGGCCGGGAGGAGGCTTGGGGGAGTCCTGATGCTGCTACTGGAGGCGAGCGGCGGCCTTGTGGTGGGGGAAAGGGAGGCTGGAGAAACTGGCCACCACTGGCCCGGGCTTCGGCTTCGTGGGCAGCCGTGAAGAGCAGGCCCGGACGCTTGGCAGTTTTGGCTGAGAGGTTCCAGAGGAGAGTTCATTCCTCTGCAGCTGCACAGCTGGAAGCTGTTGCCTGGAGTTTAGATCCGAGGAGGGGGGTGGGAATCTCTTGTATTCTTTTGAGACACAATATCAACTCTTTCAGGTGCTGGGGAGCTTCAGGGCTGACGCAGTGCCAGATGTAGCCAGGACAGTTTTAGCAGGCCTGCCTCCTATTTTCACCTCATACATTTCCTGGAGTGTTGATTATGCCAGTCATTAAATTATGTTTGCCACTTTGCTTTTCTATAAAAGCTTTGGTTTTTGCTTTGGCTTGGCTTTCCTGGTCTTTCTTTGAATAAAGAACTTTCTACCAATAGCAGTTGCTAACCACAGACTGCAAGTGATACTGTGGGAAAGCTAAGGGCCTGGGAGAAGAAGCCGGGTGATGGGGGTCTCTGCAGCAATGGGCCTTGGTCTGACTCCCACCACTCACTCCAGTCATTCTCTGGTGCCCAGAGGGTTAAATTTGGAAACCTGCCATCCACATGTATTTCAATGGAACAGATTCAAGGAGCCCTAGTGTGCTAGATACTGTGGGGGATCATAGAGAGAGACGGAACTGGTTATGCCCTTGACATTTACATTCTAGATGTGAGGACAAGACTTCCATGCTTATATAGTTAAGGCAGCACAAATGCTGAATGCAGAATGTAGACACATTTTTGTGATTACCAATGTAATACATGTTTATTTAGAATGAATTCAAATATAAAAGAAACATATAGTATAGAAACTCCCCCACAGTCTAACTCCTCCCTTAGATAACCACTGATACCTGTTAAGGAATATTTGAGGAGTTGAGATTTGAGCTGGACCTTAAAGTAAAATTCAGAGAGGCAGCCTGATGGAAGGAGAGCAAGCATCCTGAGGATCCAAGCTCCCACTCCAGGGAGGAGCACCCCCACTAGCTTTCTTGACAAACAGCCAGCTTCTGCTTGGACACCTTGGTGACTAGGTGCCAAAATGCCCATAACAGGAATTAACCTTTGTTAAGCACCACCTGCTAGTCAGTGTGTTGGGCACCTTATAGATGTTACGGGATTAAGCCTCATTATAACCTTGTAAAATAGATATCTTTATTTTTGTTTTACAAATAGGGATACTGAGGTCCAGAGGTTACCTGCCCGGTCACACAGCAGCAAGTGGTGTAGAGTTGGGCCAGTCACTAGCTGTGTGATCTTGGGCAAATTATTTCATCTCTGTGGCTCAGTTTCCTCCTCTGTAGAGTTGAGTGGTAATAGTACCTGCTTCACTAAGGGAGTTTTTCAGATTAATGAGTTAATACACATTAGGTCAGCAGAACAGGGTGTGCGTGGCACATAATATGCACTCAGTAAGCAATAGCTGCTATTTATTATACCTTGTTTTCTCTCTTATTCTAATAAGAGAGATCTGTCTCATCTCCCCACTTCTATATATGGCCTTTCTGTCTGCCCAGCCATCCCCCACATTTTCCTCTCCTTTACAATTTCTCCCTCTGCTTCCAGCCATTCCCTGTCTTCATCATGTCTCATTCCTCATCTTTCCATTCTCTCTCATTTTCCCTTTTCGTATCCTCATTACCTGCCTTTGGTTGTGGCAGCCTTCTGACCTGCCTCCCTGCTGGTAGTCTCTTTCTTTTATATACTAGAATAATTTCTGAAAATACGGTTCTCACTGTACCACATCTCTGTGTTAAAAACAGACAACAAAATAAGCATTCAGATCTTTATTTGAGTTCAAGATTCACCAACTCCGACCTCACCTCACAACTTAAAGGTCTGTTCCAGACTACTTCCACAGTCTTCTCTGTTTTCCCTTCTTCCCCACTCTTCTATTTCTATCTGGGGAAATTTTACCTACATGTTTTAAGATCCACATTCATATATCACTTCATTTTCTTAGTCTTTTTTTTTCTCCCGAGATTTTCTTAGTCTTTTTACCTACTTTCAACTAGTTGGAATTTTTATATCCTTTTGTGGGAGTTATCACATACTGTTTGAAATACAGTTTTCAAGGCACATTTCTTATCTCCTGTGTAATTATAACCTAGCTAAGTGTAGAGGCTGGGTTTAATTCATCTTTGTATACTCCCTTTATGTCCTGTAGCGGTGCCTTGCACATAGTAGGTGCTTAATAAATATTGGTGGTCTAAGTAAAAGCTGGGGGGGGGGGCGGTCCTGATGACTGGTGGGTTTCTCTCCCAGTGGTTGTGAGAGTCACTGTTCAGTGGGTGGAAACGCTGTGGTTTTGTTTTCTGAGTCCGACATCTTTTCTTTTGGGCCATGGGGGAGAGGCAGAGCCTGTAGGCTCTGCCCATGGGTCCCAGTGCCTGTGCCTGTGCCTGTGCCTGTGCAGGGGCTCCAGCCAGTGCCTTCCGTACTAGGTCCCGTGCCTTGGCCCCTCGGCCCCTCCCCACAAATGCTCAGCGGAACAGGGGATTAGGTTCTGGCAGCACAGCTGGGATTTTGGCGGCCATTCCACAGCCGACAATAGCGCGCAGCCACCCGGACAGGACAGCGCAGGCCTGCGCTCCAAGGCCACAGTCTGCCTGGGCTGCTTGTTTGGGTGGCCGAGGGGGAGGAGCGGGCCCAGCGCGGCGTCCTGGCCTTGCCACGCAGAAGGTACGGGCTGGAGAGATTCCCTCAGGGAATGGGCTGGCGGGGGGGCGGGGGGGGCGGGGAGGTGGCCTTGTCCCAGGGCAGGCGGCGCCCGCGAAAGGAGGCCGGCGCTTTGTGTGTGAGCGGCATGTGTGTGCTTAAAGACACAGCCGCCCCGCCCTGGAGCCGGCAGGAAGCTGCCCCGCGTGAAAGGGCCTGTGTCCTGCTCACCCTCCAAAGCCTCTGTTCCCGGCTCTTCCTCCCTGCCCCGCGCGCCGCCAGGCAGGGGCTGATCTAATCATCAGGGCAGTCCGTTGCTGGCCAGAGAGATGGACAGGCTGTCACTGCTGTGTTAAGAGAGCGAAGGGGGAGTGTCCGGGTGATACCAGGTTTGTCAGGCAGGCCACTGTGAGATGTGTTTTGTGTATTTACGCCACAGTTTGCCTCGGCTCTGGCCACTGTTGCGGTTCAGGATTTTTTGTCTGCTGGCTCCCGCGTGCCTCCCCCCTCATGCGTCCTATTCTCTTGCTCGTGGGCCTAGCCTTCCCGGCCCCTCCTGTCCAGGGCGCCCCTCCCTCCTTGCCCCCGACTGCCGCCCCTCCCCCCCTTGCCGAGAGTTCTCTGCTTTCGCCGCGCTCCCGGATCACGGAAGCTTGCTGTGCCTTTAAAGAAAGCAGACTCCTGGCTGTGACGTACTTCTGGCTGTCAGCCAGGAAGATCGCTCCTGCCAGGCTGACTGAGAAGAAAACCAACAACTTTTCTTTTGTGTGTGGGGTTACTTTCCACTAGCCCCCCCTTTCTCCTCTCCTTTCAAGATTTAAATGCTAATGGCGGATTAAAACCTGTAGATACGTTTGGCTTTGGGAGTCTGGTAAGGCCCCCCCCTGCACTGAGACTTTTTCTCCCTCCCTCTTTCTCTGGGTTTTTGTTCAAACATGGACGAGGGGGTGCGGTGGAGTCTCCCCCCCCTTTCCTGCGCCATCCTTAAAGGGGAGGGAGAGGAGAGGGAGCGCAAGTAAACACTCAGAAACAGGCGCTGGGAGCAGAGCTTGCCAACATCCGGGAGTTGGCGCCTTTGAGAGCAAAGGGTTGCTTTCTTTCCCCCTCGCCTAGATGTCAGCTTGTTTTTGTTCAGAGGGGGGAAAGCGTGCGCCTGCACACTGAGCTGTAGAGACAGCTCAGGAGAGCTTCTCCATTCCTGAGTGAGGCCTGGGTGTGTACGCAGTGGTGGGGAGCGAAAAGGGTTCATTTTGTCAGCTGGTAGCGACCAGGGTGTGTGAATATAGTAGTGCGGTCAGGTGCTGATGAACTGCTGGAGTGTGCTTGGGTGTGTATGTGCAGTATATGGCTGTAGGCCCCAGGTCTACTTCATGAGGCAACCCTTTTGCCCACATCTTTCTGATCTGGACCCTGCAGAGCATGGGGTTGGGGGGAAGGCAGATACCAGTAAGCCACTTTTGAAGAAACCAGAGAAATCTTGGTTTCCCTTGACGCCCTTCTCCTGTTCCTCACGAGGGCTCTGGGCCAAATTCTAGGCTACACAGAAGGGTTGGTCTGTGTGAAGGGCAGGAGGGGCCTGAGTCCAGACTAAGTCCCTTTAGGGGGCCCAGGGAATACATCCAGCAAGCTGGTTTGCCCTGACTTCAGGAGTGCAGAGAAACCCTTTGGACTTAGATGAGACAGCCTATCCAGGACTCCCCAGGAGTTGAAAAGGATTATATTTTTTCCTCCTTGGCTTCTGTTGGAGCTGCTGGTCCTTGGGCCTTTTACCTCCTCCAAGCCTAGAGATGCACCAGCAAGATATTTCTTACTTTGTTCTTTATGATGCGTTAGCCTATGGCGACATAGCTTGGCCTTTGCTGGGCCCCTCTGAGGTAACCTACCAGGTGAGGTCTGGGTGCTTGTTTGCCAGTGCCTCCTGACCTATCCCTCCCACAGTCAGAGGAGGAGGAACACCCTAAAGATCAAGGTGTTTACCCTGTGGATGTCGAGTTCACTTAGATGGTGGGAGTATCTCTTTTAGGTGTACAGAGCATGGAATTTTTATGGCTACAGGCAGGCAGGCTGTCAGGGTAAGTAGTGGTAAACCTTGCCATTGAGCATGGTCTTATAGATAGGACAGACATTTCCCTTCTGAGCTCTGAGCCTTTGGAAACATGGGGTAGAGAGGGGGCGGGGCTTGGGGAAGGACGCTTTGAGGTGGGAGTTTGTGTGGGCTTTGGGCCCAGAAATTCTGAGAGAGGGAGCTATCACTTAAGAGAAGGATGGTTCAGTGGAGGCAAGGGGCTCGTGAGTGGAGTGATCAGTACAATTTTGTTGCTTTCTGGGACCAAAGGTCACTTTGGTGTTATCTTGAGGAAGGGCTGGTGTTCAGGCAGGCAGTAAGTGGCTAAGAGATGGTCTTACAAGGAGCTGGCACCCAGGCTAGGGGGTGGGGTAAGGAGAGCAGCACTGCCACAACTCAGACCTTCTCGCCCTTGGCCTATCACTTGGTTAACCTTAGAACTGAAACTTCTAGAACAGACCCCAGAGCTTAGCAATCTGACCCTCTGGTCCTTTTCCTTGCATCTAAGCAGGTGGTTTGCATTAGCTTCAGCCCTGGTAGAAAACCATGGCTAGGTTTTAACTCTTTAAGACCCAGAGAGAGTCTGAGCTAGGTGGCTGTGCGTCTCTTGAGCATCATTTTCCTTGTCCTGATATATCTTCTCTAGAAACATAGAGGGGTTACTGTAAATGTGGGAATTGGTCCTGATGTAGGAATTTACATTATATCAGTTTTGAAAATGTAAAGAGGATGCAAGGCCTTTAGTTTATAAAGCAGCTGCTTCTGTGTGTGTCTTGGTTCCTTCTTGAGCTTTGGGAAGAGAGGCCACCTTATCAGCTCTGTGAAGCCTCTGTTTGGGATTCTGGGGGCACTTCTTTTCAAAGAAACGGGCGGGTAGGAACTCTGAAGGTGCCTTGAGAAGGCTTGCATTCCTGGGCTTTGTTTGTTTGTTGATTGATTGGGGGATGTGGGTGGGTGATACCTGATCAAGTTGGGGTGGATCTCAGCAGATCCTTCTGTGAAATGGTTCTGAGCTACAATCGTGGGGATCTGTTTTTCCATCGCCATGACCATCACCCAGTCTTCTGGGTGGGGCTTGCCTCAGATTTCAGGGGGAGGGTGGGGAGGATGGTGCTTTGGCTGGGAGCCCTTGGGTTCTAAGCCAAGGCCTGCTTAAAGCTGTAGTCTCAGTCCAAGGACTAGCTGTGCCACTGGCTTCAATCATTCATTACCCAGAGAAGTGAATGGCTGGCTGTCCTAGCAGGTCCCACTCCAGTGTCCTGTGTCTGGGAAAATGCTTTATGGGCTTTGAACTGACAAGGTCATTCTGGAGTTTGTTGATTATTGGATTCCTCCTGTTTCTGTGTCTGGGGAGCATAGAAGAAGGCATTTGGCCTTGACACGGGTTTTCCTGAGCAGTGGAACTAGTTTTAGAAAGGCTTCCCCCGGGGAGGACATAAGGATTGTATGTTTTGCCTCTGAGATGAAGGGAAGAGTTTGTTTAAACCTCAGGTCATTTTTAGCAACACAGCTGTGGAATCTCTCAGAGGGGGCAAGATCTACCTCTGGTTACAAATAAATAAAATTTCTGACTGAAATTTTGGACCTCTTCAAAAGGATAGCAAGTCTAGAGGCAACAGTGGGGATGAGGGAGAGGTGATCTGAGCCTCATTTCCCTTGTTCCTGAATAGCATAGACTTTTTTTTTTTAATTTTAAAATTTTTATCTATTTAAATTCAATTAACATATAGACTTTCTTTATTTTTTATTTTTATTTATTTATTCATGAGTCAGAGAGAGAGAGAGAGAGAGGCAGAGGCAGAGGGAGAAGTAGGCTCCCCGCCTAGCAGGGAGCCCAGTGCAGGACTCGATCCCAGGACCCTGGGATCATGACCTGAGCCGAAGGCAGACACTTAACCATCTGAGCCACCCAGGCACCCTTATTTATTTATTTATTTATTTTAGATGCCCCAGTAGAGCATTTGGCTATTGCTGCCTTCACCGCAAGGGCCAGGCATGGTCCCTCTAACTTTAGGCTTGCCAACCAACCAGAAAAGTCTTTTTGCGGTACAATAGTTAAGACCATCTGTCTGTATCCTTGCCTGGCCCCAGGGAGCTACGAATCCAGTGCCGACGGGTAGGCCATGCTGGGTGAAAATCATCCAAGACTGAGAAACACATAGGCCCTTTAGCTTCTCTGCCCTCCTGAGAGCTCCCTTAACCACTTCCCTTGCTCTTGCCAAAGCCCAGGTGAATGGGCTCATTTCCAAGACTGTGACGTTGGTATGACAGGTGGAATCTTGTTGGGTTTTGTGGGGTCAGGAAGCACTTAAATATAATTAGCATTTAGTTACATTTAGCATTTAATTATTTTCTATTATTTAAAGTTTCATGTATGTTTAATTTCACTCCTCATCCTGCTGTAAGCTCCTCAGAGGCAGGAACCATGTCAGTGTCCCATTTCCCATGTAGCTTCCAGCACAGAATGAACATATGTATGGACCTTTTTGCTTGGTTGATAAACACACTACACTTACATAGGAAGGACTAAGAATGATGGGGAGTGGAATCATCAGATTTATGTGTATCTTTCCCCTACTAGACAGTAAGTACCTTACGGACAAGAATGGTGTCTTTCTTATCCCCAACACATTGTGTACAGAAGGTGCTTAGCAAATGTGGGGCACCTGGCTGGCTCAGTTCATTGTGTCTGACTTCGGCTCAGGTTGTGATCTTGGGGTCCTGGGATCGAGCCCCAAGTTGGGGGAGCCTGCTTCTCTCTCTCCCTCTGCTCGTGCACATACTCTCTCTCTCAAGTAAATAAAATCTTAAAAAAAAAAAACAAAAAGTGCTTAACAAATGTTGGGTCCATAGGACCCACACGTTGGAGATGCTAATATATGGGGAGAGATATAGGTGATGTGACTGAACCACTCATGTTCTTCATGGAATAGTGACAGACTGAGTACCTGTGACAGGACGGGGAGGTGGGGCTGATTGCTCCCGTGCTTTGTAGGAATTGTGGGGGCTGCTGGGAGATGTTGAGGAATATTTAGTTACCAGGTCTGTGGTTTCTTGAGCAGGTTGGCAGGCAGATGGCCAATTCCCAGTGGGAAGGGAAATTGGGAGTAGGAATACCAGGATAGGTACCTAGTCTTTCATTAAATGTCTCATGAGATCTCTGCCAGAATTGAATCTGGCATCATCCAGTCCCTCATTTGAACTGTATCTTTGACATTTCTGTGGGAGATACAAAAATCCAGAATTTGGAGAGGTTTCCCTCAAGAACTTGGTTATTGTTAGGTAGAATTTGGGCACCTACAGAAAGAGCCAGAAATCAATCTTTCTGCTTAAGATAAGTGATCATTTAGCTTATACCTACCATGTGCCAGGCAATGTTAACACTATGTTAACACAGGCTGTTTGTGTTACCTGCTTTGTCTTGAAGCCTCACAGTAACCCAGAGAGGTGTTTGCAAATCCCATTTTGCAGATGAGGAAACCGAGACTAAAAGAAGTTATGCTGCTTGTCCAAGGTCATATGGAATCGCCATTCAGACCCACCTCTGGCTGAGAAACCATGTTTGTTCCATGTTTTAAGGGCACCATGTCCCAAAGAACAGGGTTGGAGGACAGCCTTGAGTGTCACATTTTCTGTGGAACAGAAAGATTGTGTGTAGAGTTTGTGGACATTGAATTAAAGGCAGGACTCGGGCGCCTGGGTGGCTCAGTTGTTAAGCGTCTGCCTTCGGCTCAGGTCATGATCCCAGGGTCCTGGGATCAAGCCCCACATCGGGCTCCCTGCTCAGCAGGAAGCCTGCTTCTCCCTCTCCCACTCCCCCTGCTTGTGTTCCTGTTCTCGCTGTCTCTCTCTGTCATATAAATAAATAAAATCTTTGAAAATAAATAAATAAATAAATAAATAAATAAATGCAGGACTCTTTACTGTTATGATAAGTTTTATAGTAATTTTAATGTGTACTTTGAGCTTTCTAAAAATACCCATGTGCCTTGTTGGGTTAAATGCTGAGGGAAGAGAGATTTAAGTATTCAGAGCCAGTATATTGAACCACTTCCCTCCTTGTCCTTCATTATGGATATCTGATATAATTAACTGCTCTTCTTCTTCTCTTGGTTTCCAGGTTTATTGGGGTGACTGTTTGGTGTCACCAAGATGACGCTCCATGCCACCCGGGCAGCTGCACTCCTCTCTTGGGTGAGTAGTCTTCCTCTCTTTGGTCTGAGATTCTCCAGGAGGTTTGCAGAGGCGGAAGAGGAGTTTTTAGGAGCCATGACTATGTGAAGTCTTCTCATCTCCAGATGAAGAAAATACAGTTTTCCCTTGCCTTTCCCCTTAGTTGTTAACTTTTACTATTTCTGGCAATGTTGCTCCTGACAGTGATCCATGACACCACTTGTGTAGCTTAGAAGAGAACTCCCTTCTAAGCTTCTATATACCTCTTAGGAGCGGTCTGTATTTCCTTTTGGTCATGGAAACCGTAGTTGGCTGCAGGGCAGCACGGAGACCCATCTTCATTTGCTTCCTGTGCATTTTCCTGACTAGAAGGGTTTATCCTGAGCTTCACTGACATTCAGGGACTTTGGTCTTGAAAGGCCTTTTATCGTAGGGCAAGGTTCTCCTCGCTTTCTTTACCATGTTTCTGTCTGCTTCCATTGTCCTCCTGTTGCCTTCTTGATTACTTAAATCTTTGTGTGATTACTTAAATCTTTGTGCTAGGTCTTTTCATATATCTTCTGTCCAAGATGAACAATGGCAAATGAAAGAGTAATACCAAGCATTGGGAACATAAAGCTGCAGGGAAGCAGAAGAGGACACAGAGTGTAGTGATGACAAACCTGATGGAGTCAGACAGCCTGACTTAGAATCACTGCTGTGGCTGGGGTGTGTGACCCAGGGCAAGTTACTTAGCCTCTCAGCGCCTTATTTTTAAAATGGAAATAATAAAAATACCTCATGGTGTTATGATGAGGATGAGGACATAATGTGTGTAGAAAACATCTAGCACTGTATCTGAATAAATAATAATTCTTGATACTTAAAGTTGCTGGGGCATGCTATGTGGTACAGGGTATTTTAGTAGTCACCTGACTACTGATCAATTAGGGCCAATGAAAAAGCCAACTTAAAAAAAATTATAGAATATTTTAAAGGAAATGAATGTTTAATTTCTTTCTTTTTTTTTTTTTTTTAAAGATTTTATTTATATGACAGAGAAACAGCGAGAGAGGAAGGAACACAAGCAGGGGGGTGGGAGAGGGAGAAGCAGACTTCCTGCTGAGCAGGGAGCCTGATTCGGGGCTCGATCCCAGGACTCTGGGATCATGACCTGAGCCGAAGGCAGACGCTTAACAACTGAACCACCCAGGCACCCAGAATGTTTAATTTCTAAGTAGGGTGGATTTAATAAGACACTGTGTTTGGGGCACCTGGATGGCTGTCAGTTAAGCATCTATTTTTGGCTTGGGTCATGATCCCAGAGTCCTGGGATTGAGTCCCAAGTCCCGCATGGGGCTCCTTGCTCAGTGGGGAGCCTGCTTCTCCCTCTCCCTGCCACTCTCCCTGCTTGTGCATGCTCTCTCTGTTAAATAAATAAATAAAATCTTAAAAAAAAAAATAAGACACTGTCTTTAATTACTGTTAGATCTCTAGACAGGAAATGTGTTTAATATACAAAATGTGCATTCTTTGTGTTCAGTTTCTGAAATAAATGAATTTTAGTTGTATAGTTTTAAATGGGTATTTTTATATTTATGTTTTACATATTTTATATTAAATTTCAGTGTTTTAGATCTATGTTAGAAACATTTTCTCTTCCTTTTCCTCCCCTCATCCCTAAGAAGGGCCTGGTTGGGTTTGGGGGCTGTGAGCTTTGTCTCCAGTTCAGTGGATTAACTGAATATTGGGGGATCCTTTAGCCACACTATTTTAAGTTGATCAGTATATTTATTTATTTAGGTCCTAGGCTTGTTTCTATTAGTGAGTACTACCATTACAGAGAAGAACCAATACAGGGCTAGTTCTATTAAATAGCAGGTATTTGTATACTTTATTCAAAAGTCAAAATAAACATGCATTAAAATATTAATACATGATAACAGAATTTTTTTTTAGAAATTTTCAATTTAAACAAAAGGCAGGCAGCTAAGGTGGATTTTATGATACTGTAGCAGTGTCAAATAATGCTTCTTATGTTAGTGGGAAGAGTGGCACAGAATATATACACGTGACAATTATAGTTGTGGTTTAGAGAAAAATGACGTAGGGAAAAAAGACTAGAAAGAAATACATCAAAATGCTAAAAGTGCATGCATTAAAATACTAGAATGAGTGGGGTTTTTTCCCCCCAAAGTTTCAGTAATTTATTTTATAGTGTAAAAATAAATTTATATTTTACTTGAAGTGTAGCTTGAAATTGTTCTCTATCCAGCAGTTACAGTGAATGAATTGTTAGTGGGAATAGGGAACTTCTTAAGATTTGACAACCTTAAGCAACCCTGAAAAACATTACAGGCAGCTCTTGGGTTCTGCAGTGAGCTAGGCCCTTATTCTTATCTTTTAATCCCTGACTAAAGATGAAAGAGTTTCTCCACTTACTCAGCTTTCCAACAGTTTCTCATTTGAGAGCAAAATAATGCACAGGAAGAAAATGCATTTTTATCTCTATGAAAGAAACTATTGCTGGATTATTACTTAATTGATAGGAGATGAATCCAGATTCCTTAAGTGACTTTAAGTCAGCTAACTGGTGTGATCTTTCAGTCTTGTTAGTGAACAAGCATTCATAGCCCTTAAAGTTTTCCTTTGATTATAGGTATTAAAAGGAGATGGTTTTGGATGCTTAAGTCTTGGCACTCTATTTTCATCTCGTGGAAAAGGATCTTGGCCTGGAATATTCAGAATCTTCCTCAAAAATTTACACTGGCCTTTCCTGACTAATTAGATTAGGCTTTTCCCCTCAAAAGGTGGTATAAAGGGGCACCTGGGTGGCTCAGTCATTAAGCGACTGCCTTTGGCTCAGATCATGATCCCAGGGTCCTGGGATCGAGCCCCGCATCAGGCTCCCTGCTCCGCGGGAAGCCTGCTTCTCCCTCTCCCACTCCCCCTGCTTGTGTTCCCTCTCTCGCTGTGTCTCTATCAAATAAATAAAATCTTTAAAAAAAAAAAAAAGGTGGTATAAATATGTGTGTGTGTATATATATTTATACACACACATATATATACAGATGATATAAATTGAAAGCTTCAGCAAGAGGTCACATTTTATGTTCTACACTTTTTTTTTTAACTTTTAACCTATTTTCATTTAGAGCCATCTAGAAGTGTTTTTTTTTTTTTAATTTTTTTTTTTTAAGATTTTACTTATTTGTCAGCGAGCAAGCGTGCACAAGCAGGGGGAGCGGCAGGCAGAGGGAGAAGCAGGGTCCTCGCTGAGCAAGAAGCCCAATGTGGGACTGGGTCCCAGGACCCTGGAATCATGACCTGAACCGAAGGTAGACACTTAACTGACTGAGCCACCCAGGTGTCCCTAGAAGTTGTGTATTTTTATTTTTATTTTTTTAAAGATTTTATTTATTTATTTGACAGAGAGAGACAGCGAGAGAGGGAACACAAGCAGGGGGAGTGGGAGAGGGAGAAGCAGGCTTCCCGCAGAGCAGGGAGCCCTTTGTGGGGCTCGATCCCAGGACCCTGAAATCATGACCTGAGCCGAAGGCAGACGCTTAACGACTGAGCCACCCAGGCGCCCCTAGAAGTTGTTTATAATATAAAAGTATATAGGAGCACCTGGGTAACTCAGTCAGTTCAGCCTCTCACTTCAGCTCAGGTCATGATTTCAGGGTCCCGGGATCGAGTCCCGAGTGGGGCTCCCCACCCAGCAGGGAGTCGAGTCGGTTTGTCTCTCTCCCTCTGCTCCTCCCCCTGCTCCTGCTCTCACTCAAATAAATAAAATCTTAAAATATATATATATATTTAACAAATAAATAGTATCTGTGGCTGAGTCATTTTTTTTTAATACTCTTAATTCTCTAGTGCAGTCAGCTAATTAAACTGAGAAGTAGTTTTGCTGCATCTGCTTCATTATTTTTATTTTATTAACCATAATAGTGCTTTGCATTTAGCACTTTTATTTTGTAATGTGTTCTTGCATTCATAATCCCATTTGAACCCACACTGGTCCTCTGAAGTAAACAATGTAGGGATTCCATCCATTTGGCAAGTGAGAAAGTAGGCACAGAGAGAAATAAGTTGATAACAAAGGTTCCTGGCAAGTTAGTGGAGGAGTTGGATTCAAAATCTTAATCTGGGAGCTCCCAGCCCAGTACTATCTATATTTTTATTTATTTCTTTTTAGTAATGTTTTATTTCTTTTTTTAGATTACTAAAAAAGAAAAGCCCCCCCACCCCTAGCATGGGGCTCAAACTCACGACCCTGAGATCAAGAGTTGCATGTGCTTCTGACTGAGCCAGCCAGGTGCCCCATAGTTCAGTACCTTTTAAAGAGCGCATTTATAAACAGTAGAATCTACTCATTGCACGTAACCACTGTGCTGAAGTTCTTACAAATACCTTGTCAAGCAGCTTGAGTTCCCTCCTTCCTCAGTCTTGCATATGGGATTGATTGATTTAGCAAACCCTTTTTTTCCTGTGGAAGTAACAAAGGTGAAGTTTAGCCCAGGCTTCTTCTGAACTTGGTTTTGGAATTCGTGAGGTTTTTCTGTAGAAGTTGACCGTATATGCTTGTTGAATAACCTGTGTACCTGACTCATTTACAGGTGACTGCTGGTGAATTTCCTAGTTGTAAAGACTGAGTTAGAGGGATGGCAGCCTGAAGGCAAAGAAAAGCAGGCAATTAAATTGGAATTGACAAGTTTTTCCCTAGGGTTCCCAGCTCTTCTTTTCCTTCCTCATTTTTTTCTTATTATCTTATTGCCTCATCATTTTTCCCTGTGACAGCCGAAATTTTATGTCTGGAAAGAATTTTTAAAATGCATTAATAACAAGATTTTATATCCGTGTGGGAGTATATAAAGCATTATGTAGTATTTAAGCTTTGAATAGATAGTTCAAAATTCTTGAGATAGAAAGGGCTGTAGTGTGATAATTTGAGCTACAGATGGTTATAGTGTAAACATACAAGAGACACAAAGGGCAATAATATAAAAAGCCTTTCTTTTTCCCACATCTGACTTTCAGCCATCAAGTTCCTGTCCCTAGAGGCAGTGGTGGTACAGTTTCTCGTGTATCCTTCCAGAAAACCATTTTATGGGACGCCTGGGTGGCTCAGTTGGTTAAGCGACTGCCTTCGGCTCAGGTCACAATCCCAAGGTTCCTGGGATTGGGCCCCGCATCAGGCTCCCTGCTCAGTGGGGAGCCTGCTTCTCCCTCTCACCTGCTTGTGCTCGCTCGCTTGCTGTCAAGTAAATAAATAAAATCTTAAAAAAAAAACCCATTTTATGCCGAGTTATAGTTAAAGTGTATCCCTAGTGCTGGAACATCATAGTATTTAAGCTCTCATTTAGTTGAAGCCAGAGGAAAGACTCTGACGGCAGCATTCAGGTGGCTGTCACTGGACGAGCAGGGACAGCAGCTCTCCTTGGCTGAAGTGAATGCTCCAGAAGGCCTGAGGCCTACAGCTGTGGGCACTCCCAGCGATCTGGCTGGCGGGTGGTCTGCCTCTGGGGGAGGAGCGAGCCGCAGTGCTCCCGTCACTTCCTCTGTTCCAGCAGGCTCCTCCCTGTGTTTTGCAGGTGAACAGTCTGCATGTGGCCAGCCCTGTGGAGGCCGTGCTGCAGCTCCAGGACTGCAGCGTCTTCATCAAGATCATTGACAGCATGTGAGTATGCGCCACACCCCTCGCCAGCCTCTCAGGTGAAGCGTGTGTTGGTGTGCTGGGCTGGGGACGGCAGGTACTCCCTTTCCTTACTGACGGCTGTGAGCAGAAGGCATGGGCAGGACTGCCAGCGTGGAGCCAGAGGCAAGGGCACACCAGCCTCCTGTTCTGGTCACTGAGTCTGTCTGTGGGAGAGGTTTCGCTCTTGTCCCACCCTAAGGCTTCCTCACGCTTGCCCAGGAGAGCCTGCAAGTCTCATTGCTATCACAGTGTTCCAAGAGCCTGCTCTGGAGCTCGCTGTCCTCTTGTCTCAATGAGTCTTCCATACCCTCTTCTTTGGGCTTCTCACAAGCCCTCCTGGCAACTTGTAGGGTCAGGAAGAAGAAAGGGGAAGCTCTTGTACTGGAGGGCAATAAGCAGCACCTAGAAATCTTATCTCTAACCTGTTAGCACAGCACAGATATGCCCTTTTCTAAACCATTTCAGCATTTCTGGGGTTTTCATCTGCCTCATTAACTTGCTTTGTGAGATCAATTAGCATTTGATAAGCTGCTTGTTGTCATGTAGCCAGGATTCTATTGAGCTTTGTTTTATGTCTGTCTTTAGCACGGTTCCTTTGAACATCACAGTTACCTGGAAATCAGTGGAGTGGGGCTTCCCCCTTATATCTTACCTCTCTGGAACCAAGCAAAGATGGGTCAAGCTATAACCTGCAGTTATTGTTCTAGGCTCATATAGTTCATCCTTTTTCCTCTCTCATCAACTTTCAGGAATTATGGAGGGCAAAACTGACCTTTTCACTTCTTTGTGCTGCGGGCAAAAGTAGAGGTCAGCCATAATATAAAGGATTGTGGAGACAGTGGAGAGGACCCTCCCTTTTTGTTGACTCTGAGCCCCTAGGTCAGGGACAGACTGAGGTGTTGAGGGTGTTTCTGTTGCACACACAGCAGGTAGGAACCAGTGCCATGTAATCGGCATCTGTGTGAAGCTGCCTGGCCACCCATTCATAGGGAAAGAAGGTAGAACTGATTCCCCTTGGGGTCCTCTGCACCTGGCTTAACACACTACATTGGTTAATGTTTGTTGAGTAAGTAAAGGAACGAAAATGTAGTTGATACTCTTCTTCAGCAAAGTCTAGTGGGGCTGAGTAGCCTGGAACAGAGTGGTTTTTGTTTTTAATCTTCTGAATGTAATTTTTGAAATGTATGTTGGTGGTGGGATGTTTTATAAGATGTTTTGAAGGTCCCTGTGGCTCTAACCAGCATCTGCCTTAGTGAAAAGAAGTTACTGTTTTCTTATTTTGGTATATAGATAGTACCATTTTGTCTCCCAGTTACCCAAGCAGGACCTTTCAGCAGCATCTTGAATTCCTCCCTCTCTTTGGCAGTGATTCTACTCAGTCACCATCCTCTCAGTTTGTCCTTTGAAGACTTCTCACATCCCTCCCTCTGCCTCATTCTGGGTACCAGGTCCTCGTGACCTCGTTCTCCTCTAATCTGTGCATATTCCAGGGCATACCTTCCTGCCATCCTGCTTACACTGTGATGCCCCACAGCTGGTGGACCTCAGTGACTCTTCGTTGCCAGGAAGTTGAAATCGAAAATCTTCAGCCTTGGTATTGAAGAGCTTTCATCAGGGGCTCCTCTCCTCCCACCAGTCTTGTTTCCTACTCATTTCTACCCCCATACCTTACCCCATTTTCTTTTCTTCCAATTTTATAGAATTTCCTAAGTTCTAGATTTTATTAATTGTATAATCCCAGTGCTGTTCAGCTTGTTCTTCTTGTCCCCCTTGTTGCCTATAAACTGGTGATGAGAGCCAAGCTTGATTTAACTTAAGGGTTTTTTTAATGCTCTTTTTTGTTTTGTTTTGTTTTGTTTTTTTGTAAGGATACTTCATCGGTGGAATTGTGCACCACTTATAAGTCAGCATTTTGCAATTCCTCATGAAAATAATTATTTTTCAAACCCTAATGAAGTAGTAAATCTAGACTGTTCACATCAGTGGCTGGTAAAACCATTAGGCTGACAATATCTAACCTACTACATAATTTTAACATCACTGAAAGAGGGGCAGCCAGGTGTGATACCCCTTGTGTTGTAACATACAATAGGGTGCAGCATGCTTTTTTTTTTTTTGACATAAGAATAGATCAAGGTTGGGCGCCTAGCTGGCTCAGTTGGTGGAGCATGTGACTACTGATTTTGGGGTTGCGAGTTTGAGCTCTATCTACGTTGGGTGTAGAGGTTACTTAAAAAAATAAAATCTGAAAAAGGGCAACCCTCTCGGATCCCCTCCCTCTTCGGGAGCTTTGTACTATCACTTTGCTATTGCTCAATAAACCTTGCTTTGCTTTCCAAAAAAAAGCATAGATCAAGGAGCTTTTGCTTTTGAGGAGATAAATTTCCTTGGCTTAATGACAAGAGCAGTATATATGTCCATGGGTAAGGATGTGTGTCCTTGGTTTAGCCAATGTAGGTTTATAACCTGGTGGGAAATTTTCATAGGGAGGGTTACAAATTCAAGATGCACATTTTCCAAGTTGTCTTCTGATGCACTGCCTGAGCCTTAGAGTAGGAGGAGGGGAGGTGGAGGGAAGGTGAGAGGGAAAGACAACACAATGTGTGAGCGTGTGCGTGTGTGTGTGTGCGCTTGCGCGCGCTAAGGGGAGGGGCTGTTGAAATTCCAGGTTAACCCTAATCTCCATCTCTGATACAGGACAGTGCAGACCACCTTCCTTCGGGAAAATAGATGTTCTTGGTGAATGTGTTCTGGCTTTTTCATTGCGATGCTGCTACGGTTGCTAACCTAAATCAGATGCTAGTTCTCAGGGGAAGACGGTGGAGGACGGCAGGGCTGGTGGAGATAGCAACTGTGGGAATCAAACAGGGCTTGTTCCTTGGCCACTTAGACTTCTCTCTGGGAAAATACATTGGCATCCACCTCTCTAGCAAATTTCCCTTTCTGTTTTGTGTATGAATAGCCTGAAGCAAAAAGGCTGTCCCATCTCTGATATCTGTGAGGCCTGAATAGCAAAATTTAGTGGAGTCATTTTGCCAGAAAACGTAAAGCACTGACGTTTGTGTTACTGATGTTGACCTCTGCTCTTCCTATTACAGAGCCTCCTTCATCTGTCAGTCAACCCATATGTACCGAGTACCTCCTATACCCTAGCTTCCAGGCGCGCAGTTGGTGTGGTCAATTGTAAATGATGCCCTTGTATCCGTCAGTGCTGTAGGAATTCTTGAGGAGTGAGGAGGCATGACTGGCAGTGGTTCTGGATGGCTTCCTGCCAGAGATAAGACTTGAAATCAGTTTTATTATTTATTTTTTAAAGGTTTTATTTATTTATTTGACAGGGAGAGGGAGAGAGAGCATGTGAGAGAGAGCACAAGCAGGGGGAGCGGCAGATAGAGGGAGAAGCAGGCTCCCGCTGAGCAGAGAGCCCACCATGGGGCTCCAACCCAGGAACCTGGGATCATGACCTGAGCTGCAGGCAGACGCTTAACTGACTGAGCCACCCAGGTGCCCCTTGAACTCAGTTTTGTTTTGTTTTGTTTTAAAGATTTTATTTATTTATTTGACAGAGAGAGACACAGTGAGAGAGGGAACACAAGCAGGGGGGGTGGGAGAAGAAGTAGGCTTCCCACTGAGCAGGGAGCCTGACGCGGGGCTCGATCCCAGGACCCTGGGATCATGACCTGAGCTGAAGGCAGACGCTTAACGACTGAGCCACCCAGGCGCCCCTTGAACTCAGTTTTAAAGGACGGGCTGGATGGCTCCAGGTCTAACATTTTTAAAGCATGTTCCGTGCAACTTATCCCAGGGGCTTAGTAAGGGAAAAAGAGGTTTTGTGGTCAGATAGGTTTGGGAAATAATGCATGTTATATTCTCTTCTTTAGACAATGTTCAGTTTGGTTTAACCCAGCATTTCCCGAACATTTAACGCAAGAACCCTCTCTGTTTTTATCTAATGGAATACACTTAAGGAAATTGCTGCTCTGTGCTGAGTGAAGGAGTCACAGTGTTCCAGATTGTGGGTGGGTAGGGAAGGTGGCTCTTTTAGGAGTCTGGGAGGAGATGAGCATCTCCTGAAGGCTCTGTAGGAGTCCCTAATCACAAACCAGCTATCCAGAAAATAGGGGGTTCACTTGGAAGAAACCTTTGTAATCCCGTGAGAGAGGGAGGGCAGTACATTCATGGTCTTGGCTTGGATGCTGCTTATGCTTTGCAGGATGTCTGGCGGTGCAAGTTCTCTGGTTCTAGGGCCTGCCCTGACCTTCAGAAAGTTGGCTGAAACCTGGAGATTCAGTAGAACCTGGAGATTGAGGAACAAGAGGCCCCTTTAATCAGTATCTCCAGCTGTAGTAGCCCAAGAAAAGTCCGCTTTCTGACTGGAATTGGAGCTATTCACCCCTGAAATTGAAACTGCAGTTAGTCTGAGCACCCAGGGCCAGGGGCCTGGGCTGTGTGAGAGCTCCCCCTGCTGCCTCCCTGCCCTCCTTGCTCTCTCAGCGGGTGGCTTGCCCTTCAAACAGACTAGCGCAGCAACAGCCCCTGATCAGAGCTGTCCCCGGGCGCCTGGGTGGCTCAGTTGGTTAAGTGTCCAACTCTTGATTTTGACTCAGGTCATGATCTCAGGGTCATCTGTGCTCAGCAGGGAGTCAGCTTGAGATTCTCTCTCTCTCTGCCCCCCCCCCCCCGCCCCGCTTGCTCCTGCTCTCTCTCTCATACATAAATAAAACCTTAAAAAAAAACAGTGTTGTCCCTTGGCTTTAGCCATCTCAGCCTTCAGTCTGTTGAACTTTGCCCTGGCACTTCAGAGCCTTGGGAATTTCCTCCTGTTCTTTCAGTCTTGGGCCTGTTTTTCCCTTTCCATCGTCTGTCTTACTCTAGCCACGTTTCCCTAGCTTCCTGACGTTTTCCAGTGGAGCCATTACAGACTGTTGAACCTAGCTTCCCCTTTTCCATGCTGCCATCCTCCCCTCTTCCCACAGAGCTTTTTCATATTACGGTTGGGGTGGCAGAGTGCCATCTTTTTCAGAAGGACCGCACGCCTCAAGTTCCCACTTCTCATCTACCACACAGTTCCTTCTGACCAAGTAGTGTTTTGGTATCTTCTCCCCTGCCTCCAGCATCTGGTCTGCTGCTTTCCCAGATCCAGTGCAGATCAAGCCTGAAGTAATGGGAAGGTGGAATGTAATGGAGTAGCAAGGAAGGAAGGACTGCTAACTACTCTGGTCCTGATACTTGTTCTTTTTCTAGCCATGGCACTGACGAGGGGCAGCAAATCCTGCAGCAGCCGGTGCCAGAGAGACTGGAATTTGTGTGCAGTTTTTTGCAAAGTAAGCACCTTTCTTTATCTTGCTAAGAAAGAGCTGCTTCCTCAACCTCTGGGACTTTGGAAGTCCAGGGGAACCAGCTCAGTGTCTGGAGGAGCAAAGGCTCAAGGCTACCGACGCTGTACCACAGGGATGAGTACAGCTGTTTCCCTGGGTCTGGTGATGCTGATGTCAGTCAGGGAAGAAGAGTGTCCCTCAGTCCCACAGCCCGTCTCTGAGATCCAGGCAGAGCCAGAGGGTCAGTTTTGGGGACTCATCACCTTGGGCTCTTGTCCCCCACCCACTGCAGGGAGTTGGAGGAGAGGGATGGATCCATGTTACCTTCTTTCCCTTGCAAGAGAAACATTTCCCCTGGATAACTTTGAATTAATTGCCTAGGCAATAGATGTGGAGCAGAGGCAGAGGCAGATTTAGGTTGAGGTCTTGGCCCTTCTCCTCATAGCTTGTGTGACCTTTCTGGACATAGGTTCCTTGTCTATGAAGTGGAGAGAATGATAATTTCTCCTAAGGCTGATGGGTTAGTAGGAAGAGATGAAAAGCTAGCACAGTGCTTGTCAGTCCCCTCCCTTGTGCAGTCATGGACCACGGAGTCCTCATCTGTGACATAGGAGCTGTCTGCCATCTCTCGCTCAAGAGAATTACGGGAGAGGAGATAATAGATTTAGATAAAGCAGAGGTTGATAATTGGCATACCAGCATAAGAACCAGGTGTCCCTAGTCCTCCTAGTATGGCTCAGCTTCAGGCTTCCTCTGTGACCTTACTTGGAATAAGACTCTAGAGTGACCTGGAATCTCTGGGCTTCTTTTCTGTAGTACTGAGCCAGAGTTGATGAGTTGGGTGGGTGAGTGCAAGCAAGATTGTGCCCCAGAGCTGCTCTGAATTCCTAGCCTGCTTTTTTTTTTTTTTTTAAACTTTCCCTGTAGTCCTTGGACTGACCTAGGATAGAACTAACTTCAGATGGAAATGTGTATGTTGGGGGAGAGAGGACATAGGAGTAAGGAGCCCTACATCTCCTGGCCCCACCAGAGATAGTGATTTTGTTCTACTCTGAGGTGTTCTGATGATCTCAGGGATGTCCAGGAAGTTCACCCTGTTTTCTGCATTGTCGTCGTTACAGAAAACCGAAAACATCCCTCTTCTCCGGAATGCCTGGTGTCCGTGCAAAAAGTGATAGAAGGGTCAGAGCTGGAATTGGCCAAGGTACCAATGGAATACCAGATGCGGGGGTCAGAGGGTGGCACCAGAGGGACCTGCTGGGCCTTCTTTTAACCCAGGGGGAAGTGGTGGGTGCTTACTACTGTGGGCCTCGATGAAGACCTGGCAGGAATTAGGCCTCACCCAGCTGTCATAGTCTTCTTACCTCGGTCTCCATTCCCTCTCCTGTTTCTGGGTGCTACCTTTGTAGAGGGTAGCTTAAGCTTCATAGTTAGGTTCCATGAGTTCGGGAATTCAGGTGTGCACCAGGCTTTTTGCACAATCAGGTGTCCTCAATCAGGTGTTTCTGGGTGCGGGTAAGGGCAGGGACCTAGGGCGGAATTCTAGGAGCTTCGGAAGAGCCTCCAGAATAGTTCAGAGTCCCCAGAACAGCCCAGAAAGGGGAGCACTGAGAAGAGAGGCAGCTCCACTCAGTGACTGTATGTCCTCTTTGGCTTCTAGATGACCATGTTGCTCTTATACCACTCCACCATGAGCTCCAAAAGTCCCAGGGACTGGGAACAATTTGAATATAAGATTCAGGTAAGTTCTGTGCCTCCTCCGCCCTGATTGATGGGTCTAGTCTTTGCTTCACCTCACTCCATTGCTTTTCTTTAAACAGCATATAGCGTTATTTTAAAAAATTATGTTGTAGTAATTCCAGCCATTCATTATAGAAAGTCCAGAAAATACTGAAGAGTACAAAAGGAGGAAATAACAGTTTCCAGTAATCTCATCCCCAGAGATAACTGTTAACTTTTAAAGGCTATACTTCCAAGTCCTTTTTTACATATGTATATTTAACTGTAGTCATAACTGTACTGTGATGGGATAATATGCAGAAATTGTTCTCTCCTCATGTATGTGTTCCCATGTGAGTGTGTATATTTTTTACACAAACTGTCACTCCATTTGTCTCCTCCTTTCCTCTAATGGGAAGGATTAGTGAGAGAGAATGTCTTTGTCCATCATGACAGTCCAGCCCAAAGCGGTTACCTTCTCTCCCCCTCCTCTACCTGGTCCCTAAGTGAAGAAGTGGAGTTGGTGCCTCCACTTCATTATAGTGGGAATTGGCCTGGTTTCCAGGAACTACCTGTCATGTGGGTCCAAATGTTGGCTTTGCTTCCTGCCTGAGCAGCTGTCCTTTATTTCCCAGAGCAGGAGGAGCTGGGATGCCACAGGGGGTGATGTAGGTGACTGCGGGGGCAGTGTCCAGAGAGCTGTGGCCTTTCGCATAGTGGTAACAATGTTGAATCATCCCATTTTAAACTCACTTAGTTCATGGCTCCTCTCTGAGGTTGGGATTGTAGTGGCATGGGAGGAATGGGTGGCTCCTCTTTCAACCTTTTCTCTGCTCCAGGCTGGTCATAGACCTGGTAGAAACAAATTCACAAGGATAAGGAACTATGGCAGCGTTGGCCAGAAAAATTAGATCAACTCTGTGACTTTGGAATTCAGACAGTGAAGGGCAGATTTTACAGCTGAGCTAGTGGATAAGCTTTGAATGAGCCCTGGAGGGTTCTTGGGTTCTCACTTAGACAAAGAACAACAGTGAGGGTCATTTGGAAGAGGGCAACATAGTTACATATAAAAGCTTTCTGACTGCACTACTTTCTTTGCCCATTTTCTTCTCTGTGGTCAGGAGTGAAGTCAGATAGGAACTCTGTCTGAACCCAGGTGCATCTTTAGAGGAACTGAGGAGGCGAGGGCAAGCAGGGTCAACATGTCTCTGCTAGAATGTTCTCAGCTGGAATGTGGGGCTTTAGGCTTTGAGAGGAAGACTGAGCTCCAGCAGGCTCCTGGGGCTGCCATGGCCAGTGTGGTGCCTTCCATCTCTTCAGGTGTCTCTGACACTTCAGTGATGCTCCTTTTCTCTCTCTCTGGCCCAGGCTGAGTTAGCAGTCATTCTCAAGTTTGTGCTGGACCATGAGGATGGGCTAAACCTAAATGAGGACCTAGAAAACTTCTTACAGAAAGGTAAGTAGGACCTACTCCTGAGGATCCCCTCCGGTCTGAGCTGGGAACTGCTAGGATCCTGAATTATTAAGAAATACAGTGGGGGTTTGTTTCAGTCCCAACACCAGGCACAGGGTCTGCACTCAGTAAAAGTGTGTGTAATGGAATAAATAGGCCATGTTGCCATCATCCCAGTTCCTTTGGAGCTCTTCCTTGTTGCCTGGCAGCGCCTAAGCAGGACATGATAAGTGATCGTGTCTGCTGGTAGGTTGTCCTTGATCACCCCACACATACCTTTTTTTTTTTTTAAGATTTTATTTATTTGACAGAGAGAGAGGACAAGCAGGGGAAGCGGCAGAGGGAGAGGGAGAAGCAGGCTCCCCGCAGAGCAGGGAGCCCGATGCGGGACTCCATCCCAGGACCCTGGGATCAAGATCTGAGCCGAAGGCAGACGCTTAACCGGCTGAGCCACCCAGGCGCCCTGTTTTTTATTTTTTAAGCAATTGCTACTCTAGGCTTAGAAGCTGGGAGTAGCACCTAAAAGAAAGGCTTTTCCCCACATGAAGCTCATGTTCTAGGTGGGAAGGCAGATACGTAAATCAGTAAGTAGGATAAAGAATAAGTGCTAGAACAGAGAGGTACGTCCTCTACCAAATGTGTTGCTGGAAGTACAGGAGAAAGACCGAGAGCTCCGCATGTCTTCTGAAGAAGAGGCTATCCAGTGAGGATAGGTTAAGTATGTGGCTCTAGGCAGGCTCTCTTCCAGCCACTGAATTTGATGTTCCTCATATTCAAGTTTCTCTTCAGCCCTTCAAATGGAGATGTTGGAAATGTGAGTCTAGAATGTAGGCGAGGGCTCTGGGCCAGGTTATGGGTTCGCAAGTCAGCGTGTGGATGGCCACTGTGGGCAGAGCAGGGAGGCCCCATTAGAACTCTGGATGCTTAGAGGGTGGGGGTAGGAGGGAGGGCAGATGGGGAGACTAGGGATGGGTGTTTAGGGGTAGGATAGCCGTGTGAAGGTGGTCGTGGAACCAGGGGAGGCAGAGGTTTTGAGAAAGAGGTTGTGTTGGCAGTGCAAGATTTCAGAATGGAGGAGTTCAGGAAGGAGCCAGTGGCTCTGACCTGAGAAGTTGTTGGGCTAAGAGGAGATTGTGCTCAGGGCAGCTCCCAAGCTGCCTCTGCAGTTGTTGAATCAGCAGGGAAAAGCATGAGCACTTAATGACTTGTGGAAAGAGAAGCCACTTGCTTGACTCGGCTTAGTGCCACTGACCTCTGGATGACCCAGACACTGGGATTCAGGTTTTGCCCAGTGGCCTTCCTCTGTAGCTTACATGTAAGTGTCTGCAGATTCACTTCCACTAAGGCGAGTTCTCAAATTGGATAAAGATGCATATCTGTTCGCATTCTTACTAACCTTTTTATGATGGTTTGCTTCTTCCCCTAGCTCCTGTCCCTTCTACCTGTTCCAGCACCATCTCTGAAGAGCTGTCCCCACCCAGCCACCAGGCCAAAAGGGAGGTTCGCTTCCTAGAGCTACAGAAGGTCGCCTCTTCCAGTGGGAACAAGTATGTGCTGTGCCTCCTCTCCTGGGACAGGACCTCAACATCTGTCCTCAGACCCCTTCATTCTAGAGGCTAACACTGTTCACCTGCAGACAGTGCTTGGAGCACCTGCTAGATGTTCTCACCTGTCCCAGTACTAATTAGGGGAATTGGTTGGGATCCATTTTTGGCAGAAGGCCTTCCTCAGAAGCTGTTCCCTGTTTATGGAATTCCTTCCTCCCGTGGAGACTGCTAAAGTCCCTTCTCTCAGTGCCGCTCTGCAGAGGCAAGATGATTTTTTTTGTGACAAAGAAGTTAAGGCTTGGAGGGGGGAGAAGAACCGTTTGCTCACAGTCGTGTCATGAGGCGGGAGATGGCACTGCGAACAGAGCTGAGGTGCTTGGCCTACCGGCCGGTACTCACAACCTTAGAGCCCTGCTCACCCATCCCCACCCAGTGCTCTTCCCTTCAGCCCTCATGCTTCAGGCTCTGACCGTGGCGTCTGAGCCATCTCCTTCTTCAGCTTCCTCTCAGGTTCTCCAGCCTCCCCCATGGGCGACATCCTGCAGACCCCACAATTCCAGATGAGACGGCTGAAGAAGCAGCTTGCAGATGAGAGAAGTAATAGAGATGAACTGGAGCTGGAGCTGGCTGAGAACCGCAGGCTCCTCACCGAGAAAGGTAGGCGCCTAGTAGGCTGGCGGATGATGTGTGAGTGAGCAGCATTGGGGATTTTCATCCCAGGAAGTGCTGGGCTTGTGTGCGGAACGGCCCCCCGTTCCATTATTGTCCGTTCTGCTGGCCCAGGAGCTTAGTGCTCAGCCTTGGGCCAGTCCAGCTGACCTCCTGGAAGCCGGTTCTGCCCTTGCCATATCCTCCTTTCCCTTAGAATGGATGCCTCCCCCTCCTCCTCTCTTCCCCGTCGTTCTGTGCTGACTCTCCCCTCCCTCCCCTTCCCCGGGGCAGACGCACAGATAGCTGTGATGCAGCAGCGCATTGACCGCCTGGCTCTGCTGAACGAGAAGCAGGCGGCCAGCCCGCTGGAGCCCAGGGAGCTTGAGGAGCTCCGTGGCAAGAACGAGAGGTAGGATTCTCCCTGATCTCTTCCCAGCTCCCCACCGCGCCCTGCACCCGTGGGGTGGGGGGAAAGGTGCTACTGTCTTTTCTGACCGCTCTGTTCCCTCACAGCCTCACTGTGCGTCTCCATGAAACTCTGAAGCAGTGCCAGGACCTGAAGACAGAGAAGAGCCAGATGGATCGCAAAATTAACCAGCTTTCTGAGGAGAATGGGGACCTTTCCTTTAAGGTGAGTGTTGGGGGGAGGGGTCTGTCCCCACCTGGAGGCCTGCTGGGGCTGAGTTGGTCTGGAGGATTCTCCAAAACAGGGTTGAGAAGAATGTCCCGGCACCTGTCCTGTGCTTCAGTCTTTCCAGAGACCTGCATACTTTGGCCCTTTCCTTGTCCCATAATAGGCTGCTGCCAGGGATAGGGTTGTGGCCCTGAATTTTGAGTCTTGAGTTAAAGATGTGACTAGTTGTAATTGGTTTGGGGCGGATTAGACGGATAGTCAGACACCTGCAGCCCCTGGAGTCGGGGAACACACAGCAGTGGTGGTATTGGCTTTGACTTTGGGTGACGAGGACTCGCGCTTGTCTGTCTCAGCTCCGGGAGTTTGCCAGTCACCTGCAGCAGCTACAGGGTGCCCTCAATGACCTGACAGAAGAGCACAGCAAGGCCACTCGAGAGTGGGTGGAGAAACAGACCCATCTCGAGAAGGAGCTCAGCACGGCCGTGCAGGACAAGGTAACCCCTCTGCTTGGGGAACCAGGGCCACGGTCTTGACTGCCTGTTCACAGCTGAGTTCCATTTACCACTCTATTCTTTGGGGCCTTTGGGAAGTAAGCTGACTCCTCTTCAAGGTTTAATAGTGCGCTGTAATGGAAAGATTGTGGGCTTAAGTCCAGTACACCTTTGAATCCTGTCTTCACTGTTTACAAGATGTGGGATCTTGGACAAGTTACTTGACCTCTTTTCTAAGCATGCTTTCTGTAAAGTGGGAAAAGTAATGAGTAGCTGCCTCATCACCCATTGTCGGGTACTATGTACAAAGTACTTAACACTTTGTGTTGTGCAAAGTAAGCTTTCAGTGAATTCGTTACTCTTATTATTTTTTTAAGATTTTATTTTTAGGGTGGTGCAGTCAGTTAAGCATCCGACTCTTGGTTTCAGCTCAGGTCATGATCTTAGGGTGGTGAGATGGAGCCCTGCATTGGGCTTCTTGTCAGCACAGAGTCAGAGTTGGCTTGAGATTTTCCCTCCCTTCCCTCTGCCCCTCCAGCTCGTGCTCTCTCTCCCAAATAAATAAATATATATATATGTGTGTGTATATATATATATATATATATTTTTTTTTTTTTTTAAGTAATCTCTACACCCAATGTGGGGCTCGAGCTTATAACCCTGAGATCAGGAGTTGCATGCTCCACCGACTGAGCTGGCCAGGTGCCCCCACTATTATTTTTATTGGTATTTTTAAGAACCCAACTCTACCACTTATTAACCCTGTAGCCCTAGGGCAAGGCACTTAACATCTGAGCTTCAGATCTTGCTCTGCAAAAGAAGGCTAGTAATAGCTACCTCCCATATCTATCTGGTGGATTAGGAACTCAGGACCCAGCACAGTCCTGGCCCTGGCTTAGTGAACAGTGGGGAGTGGGGAATGGGGCTGGAGGACAGGGCTGGGAGGTGCGATGGCTGCTGCTGTTGATGCCCGGGCAGGCTGGGGAGATACATATGTATGTGTGTGTGTGTGTATATATATATATTAGGTGTTTATATATATTTATATATATTTTTTAAGAGAGGATTTTTTTTTTTTAAGATTTTATTTATTTATTTGACAGAGACACGGCGAGAGAGGGAACACAAGCAGGGGTAGTGGGAGAGGGAGAAGCAGGCTTCCCGCGGAGCAGGGAGCTTGATGTGGGACTCGATCCCAGAACTGTGGGATCATGATCCGAACCGAAGGCAGATGCTTAACCAACTGAGCCACCCAGGCGCCCCAAGATTTTTTATTTTTAATTTTTTTTTAAGATTTATTTTAGAGCATGGGCAAGCAGGAGGGGAGGTGGAGAGGGAGAGAGAGAATCTCAGAGTTCCCGCTGAGCAGGGAGCCTGATGTGGGGCTTAATCTCACGACCCTGAGATCATGATCTGAGCCGAAATCAAGAGTTGGACACTTAACTGACTGAGCCACCCAGGCATGGCTGGGGAGGTTTTTAAGCTGGTGAGTGTTTAGATAATCTGGGAGCCAAGACTTGCCTGAGGAAGGGTATATAGTAAGGAAATTTTTTTTTTTTAAGTAAGGAAATTTGAAGTAAACTCAGTGGCCTGGAAGAAGAAATTAACAGGTCCCATGACTTAATTCAACCCTGAAATTAGGGCTAGAAAATCAGGTCCGTCATGAACCCAGGTGCATGGTTTCTGAGTTTTTCCCAAGGTCAGGGCAAAAGGAGATCTTGATAACAGGGTGCTAGGGCTCCGTATGTTATTGGTAACCTAGTGCCTGTTCCACCTCTGTTCACATGAGGCTCTTGTTTACTCTCAGAAATGCCTTGAAGAGAAGAATGAAATCCTTCGGGGAAAACTTTCACAGCTGGAAGAGCATCTGGCCCAGCTGCGGGAGAACCCAGCCCGGGAGAAGGGCGAAGTGTTGGGGGACGTCTTGCAGGTAGGAGCGCACAGGAGCAGCGGTGAGGACCCGTGTCCCGGGGCTGGTGTGGGCCTGTGTTTGGTACATCAGGTTCCTGTTCCTTAGTTCTCACAGGCGCTGTGGTGATCGAGGAGTCATGCTGATCCTCATTTGTCTCTTTATTTCACCAGCTGGAAACCCTGAAGCAAGAGGCAGCCTCTCTTGCTGCAGACAACACCCAGCTCCAAGCCAGGGTGGAGGCGCTGGAGGCTGAGCAGGGCCAGCGGGAAGCCACGCTGCTTGCCGAGCGGGGCCACTTTGAAGACGAAAAGCAGCAGCTGGCTGGCCTGATTGCCGAGCTGCAGGGCTCCCTGTCCAACCTCAGCCAGGCGAAGGAAGAGCTGGAGCAGGCCTCTCAGGCTCAGGGGGCCCGGCTGTCTGCCCAGGTGGCCACACTGACTTCTGAGCTCACCACCCTCAATGCCGCTCTCCAGCAGCAGGATCAAGAACTGGCCGGCCTGAAGCAGCAGGCCAAAACGGAGCAGGCCCAGCTCATGCAGAGCCTCCAGCAGCAAGAACAGGCCTCGCAGGGCCTTCGCCAGCAGGTGGAGCAGCTGAGCAGCAGCCTGAAGCAAAAAGAGCAGCAGTTGGAGGAAGCTGCCCAGGGGCAGGAGGCCGCCAGGCGAGACCATGCCCAGCGACTGGCCACTGCCGCCGAGGAGCGGCAGGCTTCTTTAAAGGAGAGGGATTCGGCTCTCCAGCAGCTGGAAGCGTTGGAGAAGGAGAAGACTGCCAAGCTAGAGGTCCTGCAACAGCAACTTCAGGCCACTAATGAAGCCCGGGACAGCGCCCAGGCCTCGGTGACTCAGGCCCAGCGGGAGAAGGCAGAGCTGAGCCAAAAGGTGGAGGAACTCCATGCCTGTGTTGAGGCAGCCCGCCAGGAGCAGTGTGAGGCCCAGGCCCAGGTGGCTGAGCTAAAGGCCCAGCTGAGGTCTGAGCAGCAAAAAGCAACCGAGAGAGAAAGGGTGGCCCAGGAGAAGGGCCAGTTCCAGGAGCAGGTCCGGGCCCTTGAGGAGTCCTTGAAGATCACCAAGGGCAGCCTGGAGGAGGAGAAGCGCAGGGCCTCAGATGCCCTAGAAGAGCAGCAGCGTCACATCTCCAAGCTGGAGGCAGAGACCCGGTGTCTGGTGGAACAGCATAAGCAGGAACGGAAGGAGCTAGAAGAAGAGAGGGTTGGGCGCAAGGGGCTGGAGGCCCGATTACGGCAGCTGGGGGAGGCCCATCAAGCTGAGATGGAAGCCCTGCGGCGGGAGCTGGCAGAGGCCGAAGCCTCCCAGCGTGAGGCGGAGGGGGAGTGTGAACAGCTTGCCAAGGAGGTGGCCACCTGGCGCGAGCGGTACGAGGAGAGCCAGCAAGAGGAGGCCCAGTACGGTGCCGTGTTCCAGGAGCAGCTGATGACCCTGAAGGAGGAATGCGAGAAGGCCCGCCAGGAACTACAGGAGGCCAAGGAGAAGGTGGCGGGGATTGAGGCCCACAGCGAGCTCCAGATCAGCCGGCAGCAGACTGAAGTCGCTCAGCTTCATGCCAGCCTGGCCAGAGCGCTCCAGCAGGTGCAGGAGAAGGAGGTCAGGGCCCAGAGGCTTGCGGACGACCTCTCCGCTCTGCAGGAGAAGATGGCTGCCACCGGCAAGGAGGTGGCCCGCCTGGAGGTCTTGGTGCGCAAGGCAGGAGAGCGGCAGGAAACGGCCTCCCGGGAGCTGCGCAAGGAGCCGCCGAGGGCCGGAGCCAGAGAGGCCGAGTGGCCGGAAGAGCAGCAGGGACGCCAGTTCTGCAGCACGCAGGCGGCGCTGCAGGCCATGGAGCGGGAGGCCGAGCAGATGGGCAGTGAACTGGAGAGGCTGCGGGCTGCGCTGATCGAGAGCCAGGGCCAGCAGCAGGAGGAGCGCGGGCAGCAGGAGAGGGAGGTGGCACGCCTGACCCAGGAGCGGGGCCGGGCCCAAGCCGATCTTGCCCTGGAGAAGGCCGCCAAGGCAGAGCTGGAGATGCGGCTGCAGAATGCCCTCAATGAGCAGCGTGTGGAGTTTGCGACCCTGCAGGAAGCCCTGGCCCACGCCCTGATGGAAAAGGAAGGGAAGGACCAGGAGCTGGCCAAGCTTTGTGGGCAGGAGGCAGCCCAGAGAACAGAGCTGGGGGAGCTTCGGCAAACTGTGCAGCGACTGAAGGAACAGCTGGCCAAGAAAGAGGAGGAGCGCCAACAGTCTCCAGGGCCGGCCAGTGGAGAAGACCCTTCTGGGTCAGGAGCACAGTCGGAGTCTACTGGAAAGAGCAAGCGGAAAGGCCCTGAGCTCGAGGCTCTGCGGGCAGAGGTGAGCAAGCTGGAGCGGCAGTGCCGGGAGCATCAGGAGAGGGCCTCTGGCCTGGAGCGCAGCCTGCAGTGTGAGCGCGCCTCCCGCGCCGAGCAGGTCGGTGCTCTGGAGGCTCTGCGGGGCCGGTTAGAGGAGAAGGCCCAGGAGCTGGGGTGCAGTCAGGACACCTTAGCCACAGCCCAACGGGAGCTGGCCACCCTCCGCGCCAAAGCCCAAGACCATAGCAAGGCTGAGGACGAGTGGAAGACCCAGGTGGCCCGGGGCCAGCAGGAGGCTGAGAGGAAAAACAGCCTCATCAGCAGCTTGGAGGAGGAGGTGTCCATCCTGAACCGCCAGGTCCTGGAGAAAGAGGGGGAGAGCAAGGAGTTGAAGCGGCTGGTCGTAGCAGAGTCGGAGAAGAGCCAGAAGCTGGAGGAGAGGCTGCGCCTGCTGCAGGCGGAGACCGCCAGCAACAGCGCCAGGGCTGCCGAACGCAGCTCCGCTCTGCGGGAGGAGGTGCACACCCTCCGGGAGGAGGCGGACAAACAGCGGGTGGCTTCGGAGAGCCTCCGGCAGGAGTTGGCCTCGCAGGCAGAGCGAGCGGAGGAGCTGGGCCAAGAACTGAAGACGTGGCAGGAGAAGTTCTTCCAGAAGGAGCAGGCCCTCTCTGCCCTGCAGCTGGAGCACGCCAGCACACAGGCCCTCGTGAGCGAGCTCCTGCCCGCTAAGCACCTTTGCCAGCAGCTGCAGGCCGAGCAGGCGGCTGCTGAGAAACGCCATCGCGAGGAGCTGGAGCAGAGCAAGCAGGCGGCCGGCGGGCTGCGGGCCGAGCTGGTGCGGGCCCAGCGGGAGCTCGGGGAGCTGGTGCCCCTGCGGCAGAAGGTGGCAGAGCAAGAGCGGGCAGCGCAGCAGCTGCGGGCTGAGAAGGCCAGCTACGCGGAGCAGCTGAGCATGCTGAAGAAGGCCCACGGCCTGCTGGCAGAGGAGAACCGGGGGCTGGGTGAGCGGGCCAGCCTTGGCCGGCAGTTTCTGGAAGTGGAGCTGGACCAGGCCAGAGAGAAGTATGGCCAAGAGCTGGCAGCCGTGCGTGCTGACGCCGAGACCCGCCTGGCTGAGCTGCAGCGGGAAGCACAGAACACTGCCCGGGAGCTGGAGGTGATGACTGCCAAGTATGAGGGTGCCAAGGTCAAGGTCCTGGAGGAGAGGCAGCGGTTCCAGGACGAGAGGCAGAAACTCACTGCCCAGGTGAGATGCCCAGCTCAGCCTTGCCCCCAGAGATTCCCTCCTGTCGTGTCACCCCTCCCTCGCGGGGTGGCTGGTAGAGTTCAAGTATGTTGCCCCCTACGGTCCTAAAGCAAGTACCAGTAGTTTCTTCCTCCCTGAAAGCGCTGTCCCTGGAGAGTCAAGTTGTGAAGGCCATCAGCCCATTCTAGAAGCACACGGTGCTAGGCAGGTATGCCTGCGGTGGAGACCCTAGGAGCTACCGGGGATGAGAGTGAGCCAAATTGGCATTTTTTTTTTTTTAAACGACTAGAAGTCTCATTCCTTGGAGGGAAGTGTCAGAGCCTCAGTGAGAGCGGCCTGGCTGCAGACCTGGTGCCTCTTCGGCCCGCATCTCACTCTGTCTCCGTTGCCCCTCCCCCGTGCACAGGTGGAGCAGCTAGAGGTATTTCAGAGAGAGCAGACTAAGCAGGTAAAGCCTGGGGTCCCCGATAAATGCTGGCTGCTTAAGCGGTGACCCGTCTCAGTGCATGATCCTTCCGCAGCTTGCCTCCGCCCGCTCCTGTTGTGAACTGTTTGTGAAGGGGGCAGGGTCAAGCCATGGAGTCCAGGCCCGGGCTGCCCAGGACTGCAGTGTGCTGGGCCCTCTCTCGGGCCTCGTCCCACCCAGCCCAGGTCGGCATCCCCATCCTTCTGTCCCTTCTCTCATCTGCCTGTCAGCGATGAGGGGTAGGGTAGGCTTCATCTTACCCATGTCCGAACTGGTGACCGGCATTCCTTGGGATTACCAAATCTCCAAGTTCTGTTCCGAGCCTGAGTGCCAAACTAAGAGGAGCGGCAAAGTGACTGTGGGCCTCGTTTAACGCGGCCCCCTTCTTTCCCGCAGAAGCCCTAAAGGTGACATGAAAGCAGCCCTCTCAGGTCAGGGAGGGTTGTGAGCGTGGGACGCCTGCCCATCACGCTCTGGGCCTTTAACCCCGAGTGTGAGCTAGAGCTGTCTGGGAGCAGGAAGGCCAAGCCTGGCGGGAGACAGGAGGTGGCCGGGCCTGGCTGCCGGGCCCTCACAAGGATCTCCCTGTGCTGCCCTTGACGTCGAGGCTGTTGCGCTGGTATTTAGCAGGAGCGCCCTTTCTCCACCACCCCTCCTACTCAGTCACTCCGGGCCTGCTGAGGAGTCAGGCCCTCCCCTCCTTCCGTCGCCGCCTCCAGGGAGCCTGAAATGATGGGGACAGTCACACCAAATAGCAAACAGTCAGCAATGGCCTCTTGTCTCTCGTCTCTGCAGTTACTGCTTGAGCTCCCGGAACGCCTGGAGGAGCCAGCCCTGCTCGTGGCTGTTAGGCTCCCTCTCGACTCCTCCCTCCCTCTGCTCTTCTTCTCTGTGGGAGTGGGGTGGGCTTGGGGTAGAAGGGCTGCCCCTGCTGTTGTCTGGCAATCTGCTTCCCAGTGCTAACCCCAGCGGCCACGTTGCTGGCACCAGCCCTAACAGCCTGCGGAGATTGGGAAGAGGTCTGAGCATCTGTGGGCCTTGGCAGTTTGGGGGAGGAATGTTGGGTATTCATTATTGTCTGCTAGAATTACAGACTCGGTCGTGCCTGTCCCCAACCCGGGAAGGCTGGGGCTGGGAACAGTGGCAGTAGGGTGGTAGTAGGGTGTCAGCTCCCCAGATTTCAATTCTGCTGAATCTGGAGGCTGCAGGGCTCCGGCAGGCCTGTCTCTGCAGGCTGGGGACAGAGGTGAGCACGGGCCATCTGGCAGCCCCTGCCTATTGGGTCGCCTCACTCAGGTCCTGCCAACCAGCCTAAGCAGAGGCTGTTCCCTAATTGGAGGCCAGAGAAAGGACCAGAGTTTCTTCTAGGAACACTGGGGATTTATCTGGGGGAAAGGTCCTAATCTCTCTGGACATACAGGGGAAGGCCTTCTGAGTCTTCTTTTCTTCCCCTGCTCCAGGTGGAAGAACTGAGTAAGAAGTTAGCTGACCATGACCAAGCCAGCAAGGTGCAACAACAGAAGCTGAAGGTAAGATACGGTGGGGGGTGGGTCGTCCTCCCTCAGCCCCGGAGCAAGGCTGGGGGAGGGAAGATGCTCTATAAGCCCTCGGGCTGTGGTGGGCGTTGGGGCAGAGGAGGGCCTGACAGCCATACACCTGCCTGTGGCTCCAGGAGCCCTTGCGTGTGCCTTGTTGGAGCTCTCGAGGGAAGACGAGAATGATCCCATTCCTCAGACCTTCATTCTCCACTACAGTAGCTCCTAGTCCTGTGTGGTTTGATTAATTAAAAATTCCACTCCTCTGTCACGCTACTTCATTTCCCTTGCTTAGTAGCTACATATGGCTAGGGCTACCATACTGGACAGGGCAGATACAGAACATTTCCATCACTGTAGAAAGTTCTTTGGATAGCACTGCTCTAGACAGCCTAGCCTCGAGGAGTGTCCTCAACATTTAATATGACAGTGCAACTTGATATATTTTTTGAAGATTTTATTTGACAGAGTGTGAGAGAACACAAGCAGGGGGGAGGGGCAGAGGGAGAGGAAGAAGCAGACTCCCCGCTGAGCAGAGTGCCTGATGCGGGGCTCCATCCCAGGACCCTGGGATCATGACCTGAGCCAAAGGCAGATGCTTAACCGACTGAGCCACCCAGGCGTCCCAGCAACTTAATATTCTTAGTATTTTCAGCTCTCTTCCCTGCCATAATTGTGTGATAAACATGTTTATCGGGGCACCTGGGTATCATAGGCAGTTAAGTGTCCGACTCTTGGTTTGGGTTCAAGTCGTGATCTCAGGGTCATGAGATCAAGCCCCATGTTGGGCTCTGCACTCAGCATGGAGTCTGCTTGAGTTTCTCTCTCCTTCTCCCTCTGCCCCTCCCACTCATACTCTCTCTCTCTCAAATACATAAATAAATCTTAAAAACAAACAAACTGGGGCGCCTGGGTGGTTCAGTCAGTTAAGCACCCGCCTTCGGCTCAGGTCATGATCCCGGAGTCCTGGGATCGAGCCCTGCATCAGGCTTCTTGCTCAATGGGGAGCCTACTTCTCCCTCTCCTCACTTGTGCTCTCTCTCGCTTTCTCTCTCTCTCAAATAAATAAAGATCTTAAAAACAACCCAGATGCTTATTATGCTCCATTTGGGGGCCTTCCCAAATGGCATGCAGGAGAGGTAAGGCGAGGTAGTCCAGTGTCTACTACAAGCTAAGCACTCACTGGCATTGCACAGAGGGTCCAAGAACTGGATATGGGCCCTGCTCCCAAGGAATCTGTGGTCTGGACAGGAGGCAGTGCAGCATCGTAAATGAGCCCACACAGGCTTTGGAGTCAGCTGGACCAAGCCTCAAATCTTACTGTGCTATGATCCTGGTCAGTATGTTTACATTTCTGAGCTCAGTTTCTTCATCTCTAAAATGGGGAAGAAGTTACTTCCCACAGTGGTTTTGAGGAGAAAGAGAGTTCACGAGCCCTCAGAGAGCTCATGTGCCAAGTGCCTAGCTCCATGCTCTGTACCCAAGTGTTCCTGAGGCTCGGTCCCCGTTGGGGAGTAGGGAGTCTCCTTGGGGAGGGAAGCACAGAACACTGCCCGGGAGCTGGAGGTGATGACTGCCAAGTACGAGGGTGCCAAGCTTGTGCTTGGTCACAAAGAAAGCAAAGATAGGGCTGTCAGAACTCTGCCAGAAATGGCATTAGCTGGACAGGGAAAGCTCTTGCAGAATGTGGACCTTGAGGGGTGTGTGGTGTGTCCAAATTAGGTGGGAGTTGGGGGCAGGATTTTTTGTGCATGTCCTGAGAGAGAATACAGGAGTCTGAGAACACCCATAGAGCCCAGGATCTTAGGGCAAGTCAGGGATTTGGGTGGAGCGGACAGACCAGCCACCCCAGTCAGCGTTTGTCATGCCTTCCAGGCCCAGGGAGGGGAGAGCCAGCAAGAGGCCCAACGCCTCCAGGCCCAGCTGAATGAGCTGCAGGCCCAGCTGAACCAGAAGGAGCAGGCAGCTGAGCACTACAAGCTACAGGTGAGGCGCCCCCGGTGCCCCCAGCGCCCCACTGCCCACCCTCTCCTCCCCCAGCCCTGCCCTCCCACCACCCCACCCACCCTGTCTGCCCATGTAGATGGAAAAAGCCAAGACCCACTATGATGCCAAGAAACAGCAGAACCAAGAGCTACAGGAACAGCTCCGGGGCCTGGAGCAGCTGCAGAAGGAAAACAAAGAGCTGCGGGCTGAAGCTGAGCGGCTGGGCCGGGAGCTGCAGCAGGCGGGGCTGAAGACCAAGGAGGCTGAGCAGACCTGCCGCCACCTCACCGCCCAGGTGCGCAGCCTGGAGGCACAGGTAAGTATCTGCTTGCACTGACTCTCTCACCCGGGGTTACGTTGGACCCCTGTGCCCCCCCTCTCCCGGGCTGCCCCTGCCTGAGGCTTGTCTTCACTCTCCTTGGCCCTCTCCTTTGCAGGTTGCCCATGCTGACCAGCAGCTTCGAGATCTGGGCAAGTTCCAGGTGGCAACTGATGCCCTAAAGAGCCGGGAGCCCCAGGCTAAGCCTCAGCTGGACTTGAGTATTGACAGCCTGGATTTGAGCTGTGAGGAGGGGACTCCCCTCACTATCACCAGGTGAGGCACGCTGCTGCCCTCTTGTCACTGAGTGCCTACTGTTTGTCAGGCTGTGTCCTGGCCGCTGGGCCTAGTGAGATAAAGATGTGGTCCCTTTGCCCTCTGGGAGCTTATTCATAGAGAAGAGTAAGGAAACTGGTCCCAGGTGGTAGACGCATGTTTGTATAGGGCACAATGGGAGTAAAAGGAAACCGAGTGGTCAGAAGGGGTTTCCTGGAGGCTGTCACTTCTACTCGGGAGTCTGCAAAGGAGCTGAAGGTGTGTGGGCCTGGTGAACGGAGGGGAGCAGAGGGTAGAGGCCAAGAAAGAGCGTGGCTGGGCTGGCAAGTGAGGTGAGGAGGGCTCGCTGGGATCCCCATTGAAGTTTAGACTTGATCCTAGAGGCAGTGAGGGACCTCGAAAGAGTCTGAAAGGAAGGAGTATGTGGTTCAGTTTGCAGCTTAGAAAGCTTACACTCATGAAGCCAGCGAAGAAGCTGAGAGAAATGTGTCAATACTGTTACAAAAACACCCGCAAAATACTAATGCGTTTATTTACTCCTCACAGTCCTCTGAGGTAGATTCCATGATTATCTCCTTCAACAGATGAGACTGGGGCATAGAGGGGCAGTCATTTGCCCAAGGTCCCACAGTGGTAGAGGCAGGCTTGAACCCCGGGCAGCCTGGCTTGAGTCCCTGGTTGTCACCAGGCTGGCGCCTCCCCTCAGGTGCCACCAGGTCTAGGTGAGAGGAGAGGCGGACCCGGCCAAGGGGATGTGAGCGGATTGGGGTGTGGTTAGGTGAGCTGTTGGGTAGGACTGTACCCATGTTCATGGCTGGGGGGGCCCAGCTGGAGGCTGCTCCCGTTCTGTGAAGTAGGAGATCCAGGAGGAATAGACGGATGGACTTAGTTTGGACATACTCACCGTGGAGCTAGTTGTCCAGGTGGGGATGTCTGGGACAGTGGAGTCTAGGAGTTGCCAGTATTAAGGAGCTAGAGAACCATGGGAGTAGAGGGGCTCACCAGGAATGGAGAGTGGAGTGAAGGGAGGGCCCAGGGTAAGTGCTTTCCTGGGTGCCTTTCAAAATTCAGAGTGAGAATGGGGTGCTTGACCTGGTCTGCTTGTAGTAAGGGTAGGGATTGGTCACTTCGGAGCAAAGGGATGAACCAAAGTGCCTTTTCTCCAGCAAGCTGCCTCGAACTCAGCCAGATGGCACCAGCATCCCCGGAGAGCCAGCCTCACCCATCTCCCAGCGCCTGCCCCCCAAGGTAGAATCCCTGGAGTCTCTCTATTTCACCCCGATCCCTGCTCGGGGACAGGCCCCACTGGAAAGCAGCCTGGACTCCCTGGGGGACGTCTTCCTGGATTCAGGCCGGAAGACCCGCTCCGCTCGTCGACGCACCACACAAATCATCAACATCACCATGACCAAGGTCAGGCTGCTGGGAGTGGGGCTCCAGGCCAGTCATGCTCACTTGCTCGTTAAGGGCATCTTGCCCATCGGGTCCTCACAATAGCCTCCCGAGGGTCCGTATCTTACAGATGGGAAAACTGAGATCCCCAGAAACACAGGGACTTGCGAGGCCTCTTTTGTAAGAAGGGGCAAGGCTGGAATTGGATGCCTGCTGGCTCTAAGGCTGCTTTCTTTCCATGGGTAGCACTGACCCTGTGCAGGCTGAAGGGAGAGAATATGGAGAAGTTACAGCCCAGCTGTGGGCCTCCAGCACGCCTCCTGGGTGGCTGACATGTGCTGTGGCCCCCCAGAGGGCTGCCCGCTAGGATGGGGACTCTGGCTGGCCCTTGTTTCCGTATCCTGAGGAGGCTGGGGAGTGGGGAGGTACCTTCGATGCAGCAGGTACCTCTTTCGTGTGGGCTGCCCTCTGCTACCAAGAAGCTGGAGAACTAAAAGGTGGGCAGGCCGTGGCAAGCTCGGGGTGAGGGACGGTGAAGGCTGTGGGATGAGCCTGACTAGCCCAGGAGACAAGCGTTCCAGCCCCGGCTCTGCCACCTGCTAGCTGTGACCTGGAGGCCCATCACTTTATTTTTCTACACCTGGATTCTAAAATGGTCTGATACATACTCTGCCTTCCCTCCTTCAAAGCATTGTCAGTAGGCAAGAGAGAATGCAGGATTCTTAGCAACAAGGTCCATTTCTTGCAGATGTGCAGCTAAGGATCCCTGCAAAGCGGTATGGGAACACAGGCATTTTAGGAAGAGGAATGGGAGGCTGCCTTATTCTGTCAGGGCCCCACCCCACCAGATTCATTCTCTCTTCCAGAAGCTAGATGTGGAAGAGCCGGACAGCGCCAATTCATCCTTCTACAGCACACAGTCAGCCCCTGCCTCCCAGGCCGGCCCACGAGCCACCTCTTCCACCCAGTCTCTAGCCCGCCTGGGCTCTCCTGACGATGGCAACTCGGCTCTGCTCAGCCTGCCTGGCTACCGGCCCACCACTCGCAGCTCCGCTCGCCGCTCCCAGGCTGGGGTGTCCAGTGGGGCCCCTCCAGGTGAGGGGACCATAGGGGCTTGAAACACACAAAGATGAGACGAGAAGCAGATCCTGGCACAGGAAAGGGACACGCTTTGACAACCTCAAGGCTGGTTACCTTCCAGCACCTCGCCTGCCCCTCAGGCTGCTGCTCATCGCAGCCAGGGTGAACGGGAAATGTTCGTGCAAGGAGCCTGGGATTCCCAGCCTGATAGTGATGCTCAGCTCAGGTCCTCCGTTCACCCTGTCTCGGGGGTAAGGGGTGCCGGAAGAGCCCTGCTGGGCCAGTGTTCTATTCTTAGATTCTTCTTGAAGGCTCTTGCCCTCCAGGACCCCCTAGGTATCAATTCCTGGTCCTCAGTTAGTTCCTCTAAGGTGTCACAGCCTCTGCAGAGGATCTCTTTTGACCTCCTCAGGGGGAGAGCACTGAGCCAGTCCCCAGGGTGGAAATGGTCTGTGAGCCCCACTCCTGGATCTGCAGCACTGAGCAGAGCAGGACTCGGAGGCCCTGAGCCTGAAGTCCACGGGACAGGAGTGGTGGACGCAACGGCTGGCAAGAGGCCCGGGACCAGGGGTGGCCTCCTGCCGCTCCCCTCACTCTTCCTGGCCTTCCAGCACCCCCTGCTCCCGTCTCCCTGCCCCCCACAGGAAGGAACAGCTTCTACGTGGGCACTTGCCAGGATGAGCCCGAGCAGCTGGACGACTGGAACCGCATCGCAGAGCTGCAGCAGCGCAACCGGGTGTGCCCCCCCCACTTGAAGACCTGCTACCCCCTGGAGTCCAGGGTGAGCTCGGGCCCCGGGTCTCTGGCGTGCCGCGGAGGGTGACCTTCTGTGTCCATGCACTAGCTGGCAGAGAAGGGGTCGGGGTGAAGTCACCACGGGCGGGCTTGGATGTGGAGGAGGAGGTCCGCCCCGGCCTCCTCCTGCGGCCACCCTGCACAGCAAAAAGACACTGGCAAGGGAGGCCTTCGGCCCCAGGAAGGCCTGAGCTGCCCTCCACGCCAGGCCTGTGAGGAGTTGCGGGGTGGGCCGGCCCCCCTGACCCCTCCCTCCTGCTCCACGCAGCCTTCCCTGAGCCTGGCTACCATCACAGACGAGGAGATGAAGACCGGGGACCCCCGGGAGACCCTGCGCCGAGCCAGCATGCAGCCAGCCCAGATAGCCGAGGCCGCGGGCATCACCACCCGGCAGCAGCGCAAACGGGTCTCCTCGGAGCCCCAGCAGGGCCCCGGGACCCCTGAGGTACACGCCCCTGGCTCCTCTTTTGTTCTGTCTAGCAGCCTGCCTGGTTCTAGCCCAGCTCCTCAAGTTGGAAAAGTAGATTAAAGGGGAGCCTTCGCTCTCTGAGGGCTTGATGCGGGGACTGTTGGGAAGCGGGGGGGCGGGGGGGGCGCGGCGGTGTTGACTTACAAGGTCCACTCAGCTCTGAGACCCATGTCTGGTTTTGGATGTGACCCTCTCCCCCATAGTCTAAGAAGGCCACCAGCTGTTTCCCCCGCCCCGTGACTCCCCGGGACCGACATGAAGGGCGCAAACAGAGCACTACGGAGGCCCAGAAGAAAGCTGCCGCTCCGGCTGTTAAACAGGTGAGTGGGGGGCTGGAGGGAGCCCCTGGAGGGGCCTTGGTGGCAGGGCCCAAGTGCAGCCCTGTTTGACAGCCCCTCCCTCCGCGACAGGCTGACCGCCGCCAGTCCATGGCTTTCAGCATCCTCAACACGCCCAAGAAGCTCGGGAACAGCCTGCTGCGGAGGGGAGCCTCAAAGAAAGCCCTGTCCAAGGCGTCCCCCACCAGCCGCGGTGGCACTCGCCGCTCTCCGCGCATCGCCACCACGGCAGCCAGCGCCGCCATGGCCGCCGCCCTCGCTGCCACCCCTCGGGCCAAGGGCAAGGTGGAGGCACTGACAGGGAAGGGGCTGGTGGACTCTTAGGAAAGTGGGTGAAGGCAGGGCCCAGCTAGGCCGCTGGAGGGGGGCTAAGTGTGGGCGCTCCCTGTCTTGGTTACCTGCTCATGGAGGAGAGGAGACACGGGGCTGCCTAGGCCTAAGCTGGCAGTTGATAAGCTCAAGGTCGATGTGTCCAGGTCAGCCCCAAGGAAGGAAGGAAGGGATCCTAGTCCAGGGGTGGTGGAAGTTGAAAGAGGCCTCCTTGAGCCATCTGGTGCAGGCGGGCATCCCAAGTGTCCAGCCACGTGACGGTGTTTCTCTCTTTCAGGCAAAGCACTAAAGGGCCAGGACCAGTGAGAGGCCCCACCTGTGTCCTCAATGCCGACCTCGCCTGGTCCTTTTCCTTCTACTGTCCCTTTCAGTGCCTTCTCTCAGCTCCCAGGCCAACAGTGGCCAGACCCCTAGAGACAGTGATGCCTGCCCACACCCCGGCCTGGTACCTGGATGTTCACCAGAGCCTTCGCCAGGTGAACAGATGTGTCCTCAGAGTTGGCCCCGGAGGCCTGGAGAGTCTGGGTCTTCTCCCTACCTTGCCTCATGTTTTCTTAGAGCAAAGTCACTTCTCCATCATAACCAGACTTGAGGCTGGCTTTGAGTGGCTGGGCCTAAGGGCCGAGTCAGTCCGCCTCTGGATCCAGAAGAGGGACCACTGGAGGAGCAGGCCCTGGTCCCTGCTGCACCTGCAGGGCCCTTCACTTTTAAAGTCCAAGACTGGGTATTGACCCTAGTGGGTGCACCCAGAGGTGCTCCCATCCACCGAAGGGCTCAGATGCCCAGAAGATGCTCTTTTCCAGAACAAATGGGCCCCAAGCCTGGGTGCGGCAGCGGGGGTGGGGGACAGCCTTCAGCTGCAGCTCATCCCCCACCTTCCCCAGACTTACACTGGGGTGGGATTTGCAGTGATGGGAAGGTTTTTAAGGGCCAGGGATGGATCTTTTCTAAATGTTATTACTTGTAAATAAAGTCTATTTTTCTCCCTTAAGTGCTGAGCTGTCTTGATTTGTGTGGGAAAAGGGAAACTTAGAGCACATCTTTGTCCCTGCCAAGTTTTCCCAACTAACTACCTGCCTTACCTCCAGTCCTTTCTCCTGGCCTTTCTAGGGCCATAGGATCTTACATTTCTCTTTTCAGGACCAGTGTCCCCTGGTTTTGTCTTTAGATTCTGACAATCCCTCTCTTCCCACACTCCCTCCTAGGATGAGCCAAGTCCTGTAAGTGGAACAATGGCTTAAATGACAGAGCAGGTGTTGTCATGCCTCCATTGAAAAACCATTTATGCATGCCCACTGTGGGCCCTGCCAGGTGTGACAAAGATGCAGCTGTGGATCAGAAGTAGCATTTATCCCATCCCTTCCCTGGGACAGTCCATTAGAGGGAGGCCAGAGCTGCAAAAGCATGTAGACCTCAGTGAAGAGGAGACGACTCAACCAGGCTTTGGAGTTCACCTGTCGCGATGACGAGGCAGGGGGGACCTGCTGGAGGGCGGGGCTTCTTGAACAGAAGGCATGACGGTCTTCAGCCCAGCCTGGGGAAGTGAAGGCAGACAAGGATCAGGCCCAAGGGTGGGGACATCTCTTGTCACCTTGCTGTAGGCCATGCCTGCCTGAGTCCTAAGTTCCACTTGGGGGCACGGTGGACACTAGCTGGCGGCCACTCGGCTGAGCCCACCCTTTCCTCCCCATACTGCTCCTCCTGTCCGTGGAAACCTTCCCTCAGGTTTCTCACCCAGAGCTGAGCTGGGATGACGTGACGCTGGGCGGTCTGCTCAGGATCAGCAAAGACACAGGAGAAGTTGGTGTTGCGCAGGGTGGGGCTCAGCTCCTCTAGCACCAGGGCCCTCCGTAGCTGGGTGCGTGCACCCCGGTACTCCCTGCTGAAGCAGAGGACGGAAGGCCATGAGAGAGGACCGCAGAAGGCACCCCCCCAAACCTCCTGCTGGCCTCACCACTGTGCCCCTCACCTGCTGCTGCCCTCTCTCAGCCGACCTGGGAGGTGCTCGATGAAGGAGCCGTTGCCCAGCCAGTAGAGGATGCTGAAGGGGAAGCGGCTGCAGGCGGCACAGGACAAGGTCAGCGTTCCATCTAGGGACAGGTGTGGCAGTTAGCTCTTGCGCAGAGCACACCCTCCCCTCAGGCCCCACGGTTCAGGAACCTGGAGTGCGGCTGTGAACACCCGCCAGGTGCGGAAGTCTGCCAATGGGGAAGTGTGGTTGTCTACCGGGAGGCCCAGGGCTGAACAAGAGGGATCGGGGGACGGGTCCTTGGTTCAGGTGAGGACTCCTGAGCCTGTTTCTTCAGGATGACCTTTTCTAGTGCTCGGCTCTGGTGACTGGGAGCCCTGGCCAAGGAGGCAGCAGCAGGAGGCCACTGCTCCTCTGAGGTGGCCAGAGGGCAAGGGGGCTGGGCGGGGGGGGGACTGGCCTCAGAGCCTATTGCAGTCAAGGCTCTGGGAGTCCTCTGATCATCCTTGTGTCTGAATTCTCTCCATCCCATTGGATAGGTAGCATCCTGGGAGCTGGGCCCTGCACCCACACTCATGCTGGGTGGGAGGGAACGTGCCGAATGCTCTGGGAAGCTGGCCTGGCTGGTGGGGCTACATGGCAGAAGGTGGGGGTAGGGGGCAGCTCAGGAGTCAACCCCACTCTTGGACCCTCTGTGCCCACAACCCACCCTGACCCCTGTGTCCTTTTGGGCACCCATCAGAATTGCTCCTTACTCAGTGGGACTTCCACTTCCGGCCAGGTCACCTCCAATGCTGGGCACTGCTTAGCTGTTGGGAGCCAGGAAGGGCAGGGGTCCTTTGTGATCCCAGTTGAGGCAGTGGCAGTGGCCTGAGGTATAGGTGTGGCTCCAGCCAGGTGACAGACCATGTGGGCACACAGAAGCAGGACCAGCAAAGGGCTGCGATCTGAGGGCAGGACAGTATGGAGGTCAACTGCTGTCTGCTGCCAGGCATGCTCAGCATCCTGGCCTGGATGCAACTCTGGCCCAGAGATTCCTGGGCTCTGCCCAGGGAATCGGAGGAGCAGAAGGGGGTCGTCCTCAGGCCCCACCCACATCTTGGCCCTTTTTGAATGGAGCACAGGGAGACGTTGGACTGGAGCCAGAACCACAGCATCTGGACAGAGGCTGAAAGCCCGAACACAACAGCAGAATGGAGTTCCCCTGGGCGGTAAGGCTCAGGGCCGCCCGCACCGCTCCCTACTGTCCTCAGACCCCATCCCGCCTTCCCAGGCCAGCCTCAAGTCCCACCTGGTGTCCAGTTCTGTCTCATGGTCTTGACGGATGTGTCGGGAGCTGGCGTGCCTGGTTCTATTTATCTGTAACAACTTCCTCTCTGGGCTGGTGGGGGAGGAGAACATGAATAAACTACTTCTCTCTCAGTTTCTCAGTGGCTGCATCCCAGCCATTCCTATGGGCCTGTCCTTCCTGGGGGCTCCACAGCCCTGCCTTGGTCTGAACTCCGAATGGGCTGCCAGGCACTCCAGGCATCCCGCAGAGACTGGGGCTCTTTCAGCACTTGGCAACAAAGCTGCAGACCGTCTAGTGACAGTCTTCCCCACCCTAGCTCTTAGTACCATTAACATTATGCTGATTATGAGTCCACCCTAATCCCTTCATCATAGGGATGGAGAAACGGACCCACAGAGGGGCCAGGGACTTACCCCAACACAAAGAGAAGCAAAGCCCTCTTCGCTGGAGCTGGTTCTGGGAAGGGCAGGATTAGTGAAGTCCTTCTGGGAAAGCACTGTCCCTCTCCCCTCTATTTCACTTTCGCTTTTTTTGTAGCCAGGGAATCAGCAAGACAGGTTACTAACACAAGCATGACACCAGCCTGTACTCGGCACCTCTTCTGCAGCCAAAATCCGTGCTGGCTTGGAATCTTCCTGCTAACTCCCAGGTTTCCCCATGGTATCAGACTGGGTCTTTAGTGCCCCCTCAGCTTCACCCTCCCAGGGGTACAGATGGGATGAACTCAGGAAAGAGTCTCTCACAGGTGGATTCTTCTGTCCCAGCCAAGGGTCAGGACTTCGGCGTCCACCTTTGCTCTTCAGAACCAGCCCTCGCGACCATGTGAGCAGGCCTCATGTTTCTTCTTTCACATTCACACCTCTATTCAAGGGGTCAACTCTCCTAGGCATTGGGGACCCCAAGTTGGATCACTTTGCCCATTTCAGGCTCAATGTCACACCAGCCTGTCATCCTGGCCCTTCTCAGGCTCTCCACTTCCTCCAACCACCAACCTCCTCCATCCCCTTCTCCCCGCCCCCCCAAAGCCTTCTCGCTTCTCTCTCATCCTAGCCCCTTGGCCAGAACTACAGGTCTAGGTCCACTAGGAAGTGTAGCTTTCTCCCTACCTGGCTCCCGAGAAGCCCTGAAGAGCCCTCTTTCTCAGAATCCCCCTTCTTGAAGCTCCACTCAGTCCAGCTGTGTCCGGCCCCGCGTGAGGCATGTCTCGGGAACTGTGCTGCCCGCACTCTTCGGCCTTGTGTGCAGGAACCTCTCAGAGCCAGGCTGAGGACTTGGAACACGAGCTGCAGCGCTGGCCCTAAAACGAGGGGAGGGCACTTCCCGGGGAAGAGGAGGAGCAAGCAGCCTAGCGCCGGCTCCAGCAACAACAGAGCGATATAAATGCACCAGTCTGGTGGCTGACGGGACAAGCGGAGCTGGGGCTGTGGCAGGGCGAGGACTATGAGGCGCGTGAGGCACTGGGGATGCAAAGCTGGAGGAGGCACTCATGATCGGGGTCGTGCCAATGTCTGTGGAGGCAGAAAGACCAGGACAGGTGACCCAGTCCACACACAGATCAAGCATGAAGGACAAGAGCCAAGTGTCTGAGGTTTGTGGTCTCTGATCAGGGGGATGGGATGCTGGGGACAGAGCCAGGGAAGCCAGGAGATGGAGCTCGGTTTGGGGGATGCGTCACGAAACTCCTCCCTGGGAACGCCAGTATCTCCAGCTGTGAGGTCAGGAGGCAAGGCTGCTTGGGGCTTCTGAGACACAGTCTTCTGGGGATGGCATTGGGGGATGGGAGGGAGAGGAGACAGGACTCCACCTTGGAGTGGAACCAAGGTAAGAGTCGGGCTATGGGGAGGACAAGGGACCCAGACTTGCTGAAGTATGAAAAGAGAGCCTTGGACAGCCTGGTCTCGGCTTCTCACATGAGCCTGACGTGTAGGGGGGACAAGAGTGAAAGGATGATCCCTGGACCCTTCAACTGGTCCCCATTCCACTGAGGATGGGCCCACTGACATGACCAGTGGGGGACCAGGGGACGCCACAGCCGGCTGAGAAAAGCCAAAGTCGAGGGTGGCCCAGGAGAAGGTGTGTTGGTAGCAGGCAGGGCACAGACTTCACCTCAGGTGGTGAGGAGAGAGTCACCCAGTGATGCTCCAGAGCCCTTCGGCCACAGGACAGGAGTCTGGTATCCCACCATTCCCACGGGTAAGGGGCCAGCCACCCCTAGGATCCAGCTCTCATATGGGAACAGCAAAAGGCACCAAAGGCAAGGCACGCCCAGGGACCCCATGGAAGAATACAGCAAGATGGATGTTCAGCTTTCCAACCCAGCTCATGGAGCTTTATTCAGAATGGAGTGACAAGATCCTGCTTGGCTCTTGCTGTGCCTGAAGGGCAGGCCCAGCTGGGCCACATTCCCTAGGAACCCAGTGCTGGAGGCCCATGTTTGCCCTCCCACTTCCTTCAAAACTCCTAGGGCCAGGGCTGGGGCCTACCTGGAGCCTCTTTAGAACCCACACTTGCCTGGGCCTTGTCCTCTTCTCTTCCCACCCACCACCACCCCTGCTGCCGGGCCCAGGCAGGACCCACAAACGTGGAAGTTGACAGAGGGATATTCCCTGGGCTGGGAATCCCCTGGCAGCTTCAAGGGAACACTGATGACAGGGAGAAGTCCTATCTGTCATAGCTCTACTGCGGCACACGGACAGACACACGCACACACACACACTCTCACGCACGCTTTCCAGGAAGGAAGTGATGTGGCAGAGTGGCCTTTGGCGCGTGTCACCACTTCCGGGCTAAAGGGTCAGATTGCACAAGACGCCTTCAATCACTGCTGCCAATAATAGTCCCCATGGCCCAACTACACACAGACAGACTCTGTTCTTGGCTGGGGGCAGGTCACCCAAGCTGCTGCCCCCAAACAAATCCTCAGTGAACCGTGAGATCCCAGGGCTTCCCTCCCTGGAAAAGTCAGGACAAGGTTCCACTTGCCTAAACCAGTCTACGGGTCCTGGACAAGGGAAGACAGAATCGGACACAACACCGACTGCGGGGCCCAGACAGGGAGGAAGGAAGACACCTCCCCATCCCGCAGCGTGCATCTGTGGTACGAGGCAGAGCCCATGAGCTCTCCCACACGGAGTGAAGCAGGCTGGAGCCCCACAGAGGGAAGGAAGGGCTGGGCTGGGGTGGGGGTGGGGGGGCGGGCAGGGAGGCTGAGGCTCTCAGCCAGAGATGAGAAGGCTCCTTTAAACCAAAAATGTGGCTCTGCTCCTGCCGTGCTCAAGCAAGGAGGGCGAGGCCTAGAGGAGTTGGGGCAATTCCTATGCTTCACAATAAAAAAGGTTTTTAAATATATTCATCAAAATAGTTTTCTTTTAAAAAGCCCCCACTGCTGACAGCCCCACTGGCTGGCTCTCCATCATTTCCCTCCCCAGCCCGGGCACAGTCGGAGGGGTCCTGAGTGGCCCAAGGGTCCCTTTTGAGTCCTTCCCACCCAGGAAGTCTTGGAGGGCGGGGAGGAGAGTGCCCTGAGGTCCGTAGCGGGCGGATGCTCTTCTTCCTGGCTATTCCAGGCCCAGGATGTAGTTGATGCCTTGCACCAGGCCAATGATGACAGGCTGCCAGGCTACCAAGTACCGAAGCCAATCCAGCAGTTGCCCATACATGACGTGAGGCCTCTCCCAGCTGTCAGTGCGTTAAAGAGGCTATGTGTCAGAGCTGCTAAGGCTGGTCTAGGGGATGGGTGAGAGGGTCTGCCCGCACTGTCAGCTGCCTCACAGAAACCAGCCTGCCTACAGGGAGAGGGAGCCCCCTCACCAGCCTCTCCATGTTAGAAAGGAGGGCTGAACCCAGAGACTGGGGGATGGAGGGGAGAGGGGACCACTGCAGAAGACAGGACAGACATGGGAGAAGGGTGGAGAGGTGAAACTAAGCTCTCGAAGACCAACATGCGGACAGAGCCTCCCATAACGCCTTCTCGAAGATGGGCCTGCTGGTGTGAGAGCAGAGTCTGAGACTGCTGTGAATTCCTCTGTGTTAATGGCTGCAGGGACGTGGGCAGTGGGATAAGGTAACCTCACAGGTTCTTGTAGTGTCCCAAATGGAAGGTTTTCTAGGTCAAGGAAGGGGCTGAGTCTAGGGACGGAGGCAGAAGGGAACAGGGAGCAAGAGGCTAGTCACAGGGGATAACCCCTGGCAGAGGCTCTAAGGACTCCCCATGCACCACTAACACCAGGCCCTACTGAGGCCCAGCGGCCCCAGAGAGGAGTTCGCTTCCTTTCACTTTAGAGCTAAACGCTGGGCAAGACACTCAGAGAGGGAGTCTGGGAATCCAGCTCTGCGGAAAGCACAGATTAAACCTCATGACACTGTGGGGGAGCCTCTCCAAAAGCATTAGAAAAGAGCAGCCTGGCCCAATCCCTGGGAACTGCGGGGAAGCCCCAAGCCTAAGCCTCAGCCTCACCATGGAGTTACTTAACCATTCTTGAACTAGACTCTAGAAGAACCAAGCAAGGAACCTTAAGGGGACAGGCCAGAGCCTCTGGTTCGGGGGCTGTGGGAATGTGCTGGGAATGCAGTGGTCCCTGCCCAGCCCAGCTAGTGTCCAGGGGATAGGGAACCCTGGCACACAGGGCAGCTGGGAGAGGGGAGGGGAGAGAGCTGGGCCCCTAGATCCCAGGGGAAGCGAAGGGGGGACCAGAGCAGTGGCTGGGCAACTTCCAACAGACAGGTGGTAAGGAGGAAGAGGAAGGTGAGGGAGGGCAGAGTGGGGAAGGCCGGCGGCCCCGTGTTGAGAGGGGATGGAACAGGGCTCCCTCAGCCATCCCTGCACCTTGCAGGCTCTGCACAGGCACAGAGTCAGCCTCAGGCCCCACACGTCACAGGTCAGGCCCCACTAGGTATGTAACCTTGAATAGGTTTTTCAACCTCGAAACCATTTCATTTGTAAAATGAGGATAATATTACCGACATCATCAAGTTGCTGGAGATAATATAGGCCAAGCACTTGACACAGTGCCAGGCGCAGAGTAAGCAAACAGTAAACGGGCTGCTACTGCTACCAATTTACCCCTGAGGGATCCAGAACGATGATGAGAATCTGAGCTGTTAGTCCTGCCCCATGTGCCACCCCCAACTTCCCTCGATCACAAGTCAAATGGAACGGTGGATATGTACCAAGGTAGGGGGGACAAGGAAGGGTCCCAGGAGGACCCAAAGGCAGAGTGACACTGGCCAGGACTTTCTTCCCATTGCCCATTCCCAAACAAAGGATACGGGTTGCTGAACATCCTCTTGAGGTCTACCTTCTCTTTGCAGTAGGGACACGTCTGCTTCTTTCCCACGATGCACCAGCCACGGATGCAGAACTCGTGGAATCTGAGCACCACTGGTCAAGGGAAATGGTGGGCAGCCAGGATGGCACTTAAGCCCCATATCCGTCATCAAGGTGCCCGTGCACTAGCTCTGGAGAAAGGTTCAAATCCTGGCTTCCCCTCTTTTTAGCTGTATAATCTTGGGCACACCCCTCTCTCTGACCCTGCTTCCTCACATGTGAAGTGAGGATAATGATCTCCATCTTACAGGGTTGTTATGGGACAAAATGGAGATAATACATGGCACAGAACAGGAGCTGCCCACGCACATGATAAATACTGGAAATGTTATTCAGGAGGACTGGATTCTGAAACTGAGGGATCCGGCTAGAGGCTGCTCCTCCCAATAAGTGATCCAGCCTCGAGGCAGCTGGTGCAGCTTCGGGCTCCTTTCGGATCCAGTCAGGCTATGAACTCTGTTTACATGGGAGGGGCTCCCAGCTGCAGGAAAGAGGGAGAGAGACCGCAGTTTCCACTCCCGGGTGTCAGCTTCTCTGGCAGAGAACATCACCCAAATGTCTGCCCTCTTGTGACTCTCCTGCACTTCAAGGTCTAGACAGTATGCCAGGGTCATGGCCGCCCCCTCTCCTCCCTGACTGGAATGTGCATGTGGCAAGAGAGATGAGGCCCAAGGGGCTCCAGGCAGGATACACGTGATTGCAAGACAGCCTATATGTGTTCTCGATGATGCCCTCTTCACTGACATCCACAAAGATCTGCTGCCCACACACGGCACACACACTGTCCGAGAGGTGTTTGGTAGGCATGCCCGACTCGCTGTAGAACTGAGAGGGAAGAACAGGAGGAAAAGACAGGAAAGGTGTGAGAATCGGCCCAAGTAGGATGGTGCCACAGAGGCCTTAGGTCTTCTGAAGGGGAGGCAAAGAGGGAGGGGGAGGCCCTATAGCCAAAGAACATCTTTTATATGCCAAATCAACCTCATCTTTGCTGGGTGGATGGGGGGGAGAAAGGGACAGACCAAAGATGGGTTGGGAAGTCAGATCTAACAGAACCTGAGCACTCGGCTGGTCAGCATCAGGGACAAGGAGATCGGGAGGTAGAAGGACTCAGGGCTGGTGATCAGGAGCTATGTCAGATAAGCCACTCTGTGGCCGGACTACGCTTCCAGCGGAGATGGACGTCTCTTCTCTAAGATTCAAAACAGTCAGATACCCGGTGCAATGTGGGTTTGGTGACAAGGGCATTCCCGAACACTCGTGGAAGCAGGGAAAGGGGTTCAATCCTTTTGGACAGCATCTGGCATGATGCCTCAAACTGCCACGCCCTCTAACTGTTGATTAATGACACTTCAAGTAATTAAAGAAGTAAAAATATCAAAAAAGCAAAAAAAAATAAAAATTAAAAAAGCTTCATGTATACAGATATTCATTTAAGCATTATTTATAATTTAAGAAGTAAAGAGTTTAGCAATTTCTCAAAAAGTTAAACAGAATTACCATATGACACAGCAATCCCATCCTTACATATATCTCCCCCTCCAGGAAAACAAAGACTAAACACACACTTGTAAGCCAATACTCATGGAAACATTATTCACAACATCCAAAAGGTGGAAACAACCCAAGTGTCCATCAAAAGAGAAGCAGACAAAACAAAACTACTCCCCCTGCTTGTGTTCCCTCTCTCGCTGTGTCTCTCTCTGTCATCTTTTATTTAACAGAGAGAGACACAGCGAGAGAGGGAACACAAGGGTGGGGGGTGGTGGGAGAGGGAGAAGAAGGCTTCCCGGCCGAGCAGTGAGCCCGATGCGGGGCTCAATCCCAGGACCCCGGGATCATGACCTGAGCTGAAGGCAGACGCCCAACGACTGAGCCACCCAGGCGCCCCTTGAAATGGTGAATTTTAAGTTATATAATAGAAAAACCCACAAAATAATAAAAACAAGCAATGAAATGGAAATAACCATTCATGACCCAGAACAGGAGAACGCCCAAATAAACTTGGTACAAACTCAAGGGACTTAACAGCAGGGAGGCAACTGAAGCCTGAGATATAACAGTTAAGTGTCAAAAAGTAGGGTACAAAACTGGAGGCACAACATGATCGGTACCATATGTAAAGACAAGCCCAAATCTATACAAAGAGAAAAAGATCAGAAGGAAATAGGTCAGAATGCTCATGCCAGGGATGTTTTGGTAGTAGGATCATAGGTGATGTTTTTCTTTTGCCTACTTTTCTGTACTCAAATTTTCCTTAATGAATATATATTACTTTTAGATTAAAAATTATTACCACAGTTAATTACAACAAATAACCAACTCCATGCTCCAAAAAGAAATTCCAAGTTTTGCATAATTTCCTTGTGGTTTATTGTTACATAACTAAATAGCATCTTCCCCCTACCCCAAGGAGAAAAGACTTGAAATTTATTTGTTGACATTTTCTAAGACCTATTTTTTCTTTCCTTTGCCTTATACACATAATATAGAATATACATCTTAACTACTTCTACATGTATAGTTCATTAGTGCTCAGTATAGTCACACTGTTGTGCAACTAATCTCCAGAACTTTTAAACATTCTGCGAGACTCTATAATGGATCGTGAAAAAGCCTTCTGCATTTGTTACTACAATCTCATCTGGACCTGTCAGGTAGATATACCGCCTCTAGACTTTTTGCATTTCCTTAAACTTGAGTCTGCTGTCTTTCTTCTTCTGTTTCCAAACACCTGTCTTCTGAAAAAGCCAAAGCCCTGAGGCTGGGTGAGAGAGGAGAGGGCACCCAGGTGCTGGGACAGGGAGTATGAGAGGGTGACACCAGGTGCCTGCCAGAACTTCCACTCAACATGGAGGCTTCCCTTACTCCAAGGTGCCCTTCTGAGGAACAGCCTCTCAGCCATCAGAACCGCTACCGGATTCCAAGAGTCCTCAAGGGTAGAAGGCAGAGGTGCCACACTGCCCCAAGAATCCATGAATACAGAGCTTCCTGCCTTCATGTGCACCACCTCACTTTCTTGTAAACCCGTCTGAGATAGCTCAAGGTGAGCTCGAGTATTACCAGAGAACACCAGAGCAGCCCTAACGCTGGGAAACCAAAGCCCAGAAGAGGAAAGAGGTAAGGGACCCAAACCCAGACCCTCTGACCCCTACCCAAAATCTATCCAAGGTGTCCCATAACATCTGCTGAATGTTAGCTGTAGAACCATCAGCTACTTAGCTTGCTGAGAGCCAGTTACTTGAACGGTTCCGATTTATTTATCGAGAATACAAAAGGCAGTGGAAAAGGATAAGCTAAATCAGGGGGCAGGGCCAAACCTGTGGGACTTCATTAACTATGCAACTTTCAAAAGCTGGAATCTCGGGATGTTAGTATTGTGGGGGGGAACCTCTGAGAAACACTTCCCCAGAGCTTGACAGGCGTATGGCTCTGAAAGGTGTTCTGGCTTAGAATTTCTAAGCGTATCAACTTGTCAGAGAGACAAGAGACCAAGAGGTCTGGGTCCAGCTCGGCACTGAATCCTCCTTGTATAATCACGTAGCACAGAAACATGGCCACTCACTCTGGCCCACAGCATTGGCAATAAAAGAAATAGGAACGTTCTGACTCAGGAGATGTGTTAGAGCTGAGGAAGAGCTTAACCTCAAATCACCCCAGAGTTCTCCCCACAGGACACAGAGGCAAAGGATGCAGGATGAAAGGGAACCTGGATGAGGTGAAGACAGGAGGAGGGATGTCCAGGAAAGCGTCTGTTAGGCTCCTAGTTTCTGGAGTTCTCCCCACAACACTAATGTGGCACTAGGCAGGCAGGGTCAAATCCCACAATGTTTCAACAAAGCCACCAGGTAAGCTGTCAAACCAGGAAGGCCCAGCACACCCCTCGCAGAAATCACACAGGAGGAGATTGTATCAGGAGGCACTGAGGCTGAGCTGCGTAAGATCCAGGGAGGCAGGTTTCAGTTTAACCTCAAGAACAGGATCCCTCCGTAGAATAAGCTCAAGGGGGACCTACAATTTATCAGGATTAGACAGACCTAACTGCAGTCTTCTGTCACTTACTATCTTGATGAACTTGAGCAAGCCACCCAAACTCTTCCTTCCTTCCATCAAAATATACTAGGCACCTACTAAAGTACCAGGCACTGGACTAGGTCCTTGGGATATATTGCCGGAAGAACAGAGACCCGGCTTCTCTCCTCACGGAACCTACAACTACAAGAGAATGACATTAAAAAAATAAATATTTATAGAAAATAAGAACTAACTTCAGGGGCGCCTGGGTGGCTCAGTCGTTAAGCGTCTGCCTTCAGCTCGGGTCATGATCCCAGGGTCCTGGGATCGAGTCCCACATCGGGCTCCCTGCTCGGCAGGAAGCCTGTTTCTCCCTCTCCACTCCCCCTGCTTGTGTTCCTGCTCTCACTATCTCTGTCTCTGTCAAATAAATAAATAAAATCTTAAAAAAAAAAAAAAAAGATCTAACTGCAAAGGCTAAAATAAGAATTATTTCAAAGGCAGTAAAGGGCGAAGAAAGGGGTTCCTAACTAAGCCGAGGTCACATAAGGAGGCTTCTTTGAGGGAGTGACATTTGAGGCTGAGAGGTAAAGGGCAGTGGGAGTTAGGGAGAGGAAGAAAGGCAGAAGAGGGAAGAGGCCCTGAGGCAGAAAGGAACCTGGTGTGCTTGAGAAACTGAAAGGAACCTTAGCTAAGGGACAATGACAATTCTTTATAAAGAGATGCTGGAGACCTGGACCAGGGTGATGGTCTGGGCTAATTTAATGGTAGTAAAAATCAAGAGAAGTGGACAGACCGGTGATGCTAAATAGACAGCCGAAGACTAAAGGTCTGGTGCTGAGAAAAGTTCTGGTCCAAAAAGTCACAGAAAAGGAAAAGGAGAATGCCTAGGTGAAGTGCAGAGAAGATGCCTTAGGTCTGCACTCATAGGAACAACAACATTCAAGGGGAGGACAAGTTAGCAGAAGAGACAGAAGTTAAAGCAGAACAGGGAAGCATCACAAAAGCCAATGATGACTGCTGAGGTCAGAATTAGTGACACAGCCACTAGTGACTTGAGTAAAAGCCATTTCAGAAGAAAGGTTTGAGCCGAGCCAGATTAGAATAGGCTAAGGAGTATGGAGAAGGTGATCAAAAGGGGACAGAGCTTCCTTCTAAGTTTAGCTGTGAAGGACAGGAAATGGGTCAGTTGCTAGAGGAGAAAGTGGGTCAAAGAAAGTTCGATCGTTTTGAAAAAGAATGCTTAAAAGGCGAACAGCCCGACAGAGAGGGAAAAGTTGAAGTCACAGATGAGACAGGGACTTCGATAGCATAATGCATCCCGGAGAAGGAAAGAGGGTATGGAGAGGCGCCTGGGTGGCTCAGTCGTTAAGCATCTACCTTCGGCTCGGGTCATGGTCCCGGGATCCTGGGATAGAGCCCCACATCAGGCCCCCTGCTCGGCGGGAGGCCTGCTTCTCCCTTTCCCACTCCCCCTGCTTGTGTTCCCTCTCTCGCTGTGTCTCTATCCATCAAATAAATAAATAAAATCTTTTTAAAAAACGGAAAGAGGCTGGGCACCTGGGTGGCTCAGTTGGTTAAGCGACTGCCTTCGGCTCAGGTCATGATCCTGGAGTCCCTGGATCAAGTCCCGCATCGGGCTCCCTGCTCGGCAGGGAGCCTGCTTCTCCCTCTGACCCTCCCCCCTCTCATGTGCTCTCTCTCTCATTCTCTCTGTCTCAAATAAATAAATAAAATCTTTAAAAAAAAAAAACGGAAAGAGGGTATGGAATCCACAGTGCAGGCAGGGCTGGCTTGTGATGGAAGAAAGGACA